TCGGCCTCGTCTCTCCATTCGCGGTGGTGTAGCTGACCCCCGAATGGTTTCAAACTGCGAAGCTCGGAGGAGTACAGTGGTGGCCGAGGCATGAGCTCTGAGTTGAGACGGTTGCTGGAGATGGATGGTGATGCAGGGAGAAGAGTTACGCTGCCTGACGCCGCGTGGGAAATTGTTTGAACCTGCAATTTCAGTTCGAGCGCGGTGGACTTCTAGACGATGTGTCCTCATGGCTGTTTTTCAACGCTTGGCCTATCGCTGATATCCCTGCGTGGGATGTTCTTCCAGTGGAGTCCAGGTGGGACTTCGGGTGCCCACACTCCATCACCTGGTTGATTGTTTCGGAACTGCAAAAATAATTATTGTTTCCTATTTTAAAGAGTCGGCGTGGAGAAAGCAATTTTATTAGTGCAATTAGGAGTATAATCGATGCAGACATGGCCAGACAACAACGAGTTCATGGAATTTTTAAGGATTTTTATGTTATTCAAAATCGATTTTCGTGTTCCGCTCATCAGTGAATAGTATCGGAACTGAGGGTACTGTGTACAAAAATAGAACATTTTATAACAGCATAATTAAAAGTGTGAACAAAAAAGGAAGTGCTACAGCATTACATAATAGGCGTCAATTTCCTATTTTGTGCGCATCTCTTGTCATCTCTCTTTTCTATACGTCGCACACCAGATGTACTACTATCGCCGTCTTTCTCTTGTTTTCTCTCCCTGCTTGCTGTTTTTTTGTTTCTGTTGCGACTGTCCCTCATCATACCCATGCTTGGGTGGTGGGCGGCGTGACCCGTTAGGGTAGCTGCCAATACAGTACGACTCCCTGATGTATAGAGAGACTTTCTGGAAAGAAATAGGGAGACAAGGAGGAAATGAAATTAGAATGGATGTTAGTTGCCGAATAGGTGATAGGATGCGTCAGTAAAAACATACTTTGGAAGAGACATCCCGTCGTCTCCAAAATAGGAGTGAACGGGCGAGTCAGCGCCGGTCACAGGAAACGTCGGCAGAGAGATCCCGTCGACTCCAGAACGCGCGTGCTCGGCAGAGTCAGCGCCGTTCCAGGAAACATTTCCATCAGTTCCCACAACATGCACAATGAGCTAAGTAACAAAGCATAGCGTAGGGCCCTGAGCTTCCAAGCTCTCTCGTTTGGTGTTCGTTTGTTTGTTTGTTTGTGTCACGCCTGGCGCTGTCCCGTATCTGTCCCGTACCGTACCGTACCAACAAAGACAGCTGGCCACAATATTTTTGTTTGTTTGTGCCATCGGCATGCCTGGCGCTATCCCGTACGTGTCCCGTACCATCAAGAGTACGGTACCATCAAGAGAATGAGTATATATGCGAAGTGTATCGGGGGAATGCATTCAGTGCAGTAACATTTTGTGTGGATTTGTGTGCGAGGCCGAGATCCCACTAGCAGGCTGGGAATCGCATGTAGGCCAATAGCATACTAGTAATTAAAACGTGTATACAGTCATGTAGATGTACAGCAGGGAGTCATATTATGTAAACGACTCCCTGCTGTATGGGGAGATTTTCTGGAAAGAAAAAAGAAGTAGGGAGACGAGTAAATGCAATTAGAATGGATGTTAGTTGCCGTCAGTATAATAAGAAGAAGACGAACGCCCGTGATCGGCAGAGTGAGCGCCGGTCCCAGGAAACGTCAGGACAGACATCCCGTCGACTCCAGAACGCCCGTGATCGGCAGAGTCAACGCCGGTCCCATAGCTATGCAGAAGACGTTACTTCAGTAACTCATTGAAAGGTTTTTGCAATACAATGATGTAGCTAATCAAAGGAAAAAACATTTCCATCAGTTCTAACAACATGCACGATGAGCTAGGCAACAAAGCATAGCGTAGGGCCCTGAGCTTCCAAGCTCTCTCGTTTTACACTCAAACATACACTGTAGATGTACATGTAATATCATGATAATGATTCCATCTTCATTGTCCCGCAACTGGTACACCATACACACCGAATACATGGTGTGTGTGTGTGTGTGTGTGTGTGTGTGTGTGTGTGTGTGTGTGTGTGTGTGTGTGTGTGTGTGTGTGTGTGTGTGTGTGTGTGTGCGTGTGCGCGCGCGCATGTACATGCACACACTCTCATGCGTGGCCGAGTCGGCCAGATGAACAGACCATGCATTTGCACGAGGTGTCCGTAATGTCATTGGAACGCTGTACTTTATGACTTTATTCCAAAAGAGTATGTCTTGCCCCTGACGAATGGAGTTGTGTCTGTGCTCAGCGGGTATCGGGCTATGACGCAACACTGCAATCAGCGCTGCAATTAAAAGAGCACTGCATGGATTACTTTGACTAACTTCCTTTGCGTTTACTTGGTTGAGCCCGTGGTTTCATTTCTGTGTTCTGTCATGATTGGCCTCTGGAAATAATCAGAGTGGATGTCATTTTGCCATATATGTGTGCCTTGTGCGACAGGTTCAAGGCTAGATGCACTTTGCATTCGGCGTGCGATCTCAGCGTCTGGGACCTGATGACGTCTTGGTTGGATGATTATTCAAGCCTGATACAACTCGACACACCAATGTACATGTCAATGTAATTCTTCCATGGGTCTTCAAACACCACGGAGGGCGAAAATATATATCTAAGTCATGCAGTTTACGGGAGGTGCGAGCTGTCATGGATTATAGAGGCTGATATCGTGCCAGCGTGAGGGCAGAGACAGAAAGAAGACACTGATTTCTTGAACAACTCACCTATATATAATCGAATCCACAAGGAGCGCTCATACTTTGATCCATCAGGACGCGAAACATCTTCAAAGCACTCTCAAACATGGAGTTTTACTGTGGGCAGCCAATTTCACAGCCATCATGAAGGCACTCGACGACGACTACAGGAGTTTTGTAGAGGAAAGAACAAGGAGTAAAGAGCGACAACAATCGCTTGAAGAAAAAGCAAAGAAAAACTGCTGTCTCTCCAGTCATTTAGATGCTGTTGCCCTTGACATCTGGTTCCATCCAGAGGACGCGACTTTTGTTTGTCCCCAGTGCTCTCCGTTGCTATGCGTATCGAAGGAGCCGTGACGTCACACTTAACAGCCCCATTCTTAAACTGTGAAGTCAACCGCATGCGCAGAAAAGTGACATAACCTCGCCATAACGCACCCTACGGCGCGATCCCCGACGTGCACACTCTCGATACAACGTAGACTCACATGTGCGGTACAATCAAGCTGTAGCCGTAGCTAGCCAGTTTAGTCCTATTGTGCATATATTCTGCGGCATTGATGGTATCTGATGTCGATGGTGATACAGTGTGTATATGTTTGCACGGTTGAACGCGCCTTGCAATACCCTTCATTTTGAGGTACATCTTGTATTTTACACACGGTTTTCTACATATTTTTGTATTATTAACCCTTTATGGGTCTCACATAAGCGTAAGGGTCGTATGTGACCCTTACAGTAAAATCGCATTTTCTGTGAGTTTTGTTGCTAGGAGACAACTAAAATGGTGCTCCACTCGTAGCTGAGGTCCCAGGCTTTCCAACGGTGTAAAAAACAACCATACTTACCATACAAATTTTTGCAGTATCGATCGACTGAAGTCTGGTGAAATTGGAAAAGACGACCATCCGCCATGCGCGCATTTCGAGAATGGGAGTGCATCTCTTGAAGCCGTGTCAGAGAAGCTTTCTGGGGACACTGACGGCACCAGTCTAGGCTGGATGTCTCTGGAGGATTTCCAGTGTAATGTCGTGAGAAAGAGAGCTCCGTTGAGTCCTCCTTGCTCAAATAAATCGTCCCCGAATGAAGAAATCAAATTTACCAACCAGCGAGGAAGCACAGCAACAGCAACTCTCACAAGGACTTGTCAGGTGCGATCAGCTGATTCGCCTGGCCGTGAGAATCACGGCACGCGTGACATCGCGCCTCAGTACTCATCTGAGCGAGAGTGAATCTGACGCGAGCGGCGCTGATGTGAACGAACCATAATTGTGATATTGTGGAACTGTTGCTGCTGGAGCATCGCCGATGGCGAGGTATTGGAGTTCAAGGACGGGATAAGGAGCATATATTCTTCACCAAGACGTAGCGCTTACCTGATTGTTTATCATAGGACTTCAGCTCCATCACGAACTTGGTATGCACTTCGTGCTGTGATTTTTGTGCTTTTTTGTTCGCAATTGTATTTTCTCTCAACTTGAAGGGCTACCACGGGTCATATCCTTGCCTGGACATAGTCATATTTGTGTTTTCTGGACGCGTCCAGGCATACAGATTTTGAAAATATATAGTTTACCCATACCTACAACTCGCGGAACTTGAGTTATGGCTCGTTGTTTGTACGCGTGTTTGCGTGACCACCCCTCACATACATTGAGTAAGACCCACAAAGGGTTAAACATAATTTTTGCGTGGTCCCAGAGATTACGTTATAATGGAGAATAGACCTGTATAGTGTACATAATTATTTTCATATGAACAAATTTTTGAGCAGGGAGTGGTGCTTTCTTGCAGGTTTGCCGAGTCGAAGGTTCGATGGACTTCTCGTGTGCTCTGGATGGCAGTCGTGAGTCAGTCAAGTGTCAAGTAAAGTCGGCGGAATAGCGCGAGCTCCGGTGTGGGGAGCAAACCCTTTTCTAACAAATTTTAGTGCAGAATTAATTTAGTGTACGAAATCGTCCGAAAATGTCCTGCTACCAGAATAGAAGTGGATTACGGTACGGCCATGAAGCATGTAAACGAAAAAAACTGGAACTCGCCGTGAGTTCTGTACGTCGTCGTACTCAACACCCCAATCGATTGAAGCAGAGTGTTAAAAAAGAGCAAGAAATAGTGAAAAAAAGATGTTGGAGTGTTTTAAAAAGGAATGCTGCCCAAAACACCTCTGTGCCAATGAGAAAATCACTTTGGAATCGGCGGAATTGAATTCCGTGGGTTCCGACGACGAAACAGGTGACATGGAACACACACACGCGCGCACAGACACACACGCGGCATGCCGGCAACTCGCATCTCGATTCGGTTATTATTATTTTTTAAATCTCGTGTTTTTTTAATTTTTGTAATGAAAGATACTAATCTTGAATAGAATCGCCCCTCTAGCCTGCGGTATCAACAATTTGAGTAAACAGTTACTATAAAGGCGACAAACGAATTGATACGTACATGCAAGCATAGTGTAGGTAAAAGTTGAAAGGGAAACAGCATCAAAGAAATGACGCTTTTAAAAAATAGAGTGAAATAAGCCTAGTTAACGGTTCAGTAGATGCATTGTCACATCTTCAGCAGCGCAATGAATGAAAAGACGGTTGAACGTTTAACCGAACAGCTGTTTATATGAGAACGCACAAATAATGTTCATAGGTACGTTCTCGTACATCTAGTATGTTCAGCTGGACTGAGGTATGGCCAGGATAAAAATGAGAACGATGCACGCACGCGTGTTGCAGCCACAGCCTGTACAGGCAACGTGCGCACAAACAACTACAACTTCGCTACAGCGTTATCTGTAGACGGAAGATACAATACAATATACTCGTACGAGAACATCTCGCCCACGCACTCTCAATCTCTCGCACGCACGCACGCACGCAGACACACACACACGCACACACGCACGTGCTGCAGCGGACGAAGAGGAGCAGGCACTGTAGTACTTTCTGGCAGAGCGGCTAATAAAACACTACAAACTAAACCGCGCCGGCACAACACCAGGAGCTGCAGAGCGACAAATGACACTACTTGTGCCCATGGTGATGCCATCTAGCACTTACGCCTACGCTCTAGCAAGCTGCTCACTGCTTGCCATTGCACTAGGGTCATAGCTAGAGCCAAACACGAATAGTTCGAGCAGGACGATCACACACCACTCATCACACACCACACAGCGGCATGGCGTGGCGAGCAGATCGTGTGCCCGCACCTACTCTCTCTCTCTCTCTCTCTCTCTCTCTCTCTCTCTCTCTCTCTCTCTCTCTCTCTCTCTCTCTCTCTTTCTCTCTCTCTCAGTACGAGAGGACAGAGCACGCGGGGCCAGGAATCGTCGCACGCCCGTCCGGCGAATTTTCACAGCTACCAGTGCGCAGAGGTGTGGAGCCCGCAGTGCGCCGGGGAAGTCTTCTTCTGCATGCAGATATGTAGGGCACCGGGGAAGTCCCCTGCATGCAGAGCTTGCAGTGCACCGGGGAAGTCCTCTGCATGCAGAGCCGCGGGGCAACGCGCTACTGGCAATGTCGTGGCTATAGCGTTGCTTTGCTCGCACTCAGAAGGCACTCGAGAGCGACGGACACGAAGCATTTACATGGTAACTGGACAGTTCGGGCACAATCAGAGTATCGGCGTTGCCATCGAGTGCGGTCAGAGCCACGCTGCCATGCTGTTCTGACTGCTGCTGCTGCAGCGCGACACGCTCTGCGCAGGATATCGCGCTGTGCTGCTGCGAGCACAGCGCGTACAGTCACCGCCAGGACGGGACAGCGGGCAGTGGTGTCATGAACGGAACTGCCAGGCGCTACTACCGTACACCACCTGACAGGGCAGAGTACTGGGCACAAGCCTAGCAGCATGCAGCCAGAATAGAACAAAAATAAATAATAATAATACTAATACTAACTACACTGCTGACAACTAGGCCCCACCACAACCAGTAACACCAGCAGCAAGCAAAGCAGAGAAAAAACACGCCCCTTCCCTGGGGCCTACATGATGCCGTTGGTGAGGTACTGGAAGCCGTCGTACAGCTTCGTCGACATGGAGTAGATGCTGCGGCTGAGCAGCGCGTCCACGTGATCTTCCAGCTGCTCGTCGGTCAGGCCCTGGCAGAAACGCTCGCGCATCTGCCGCACACCGCTGCCACCGCGCCCAAAGCAGGGCATGTGCGAGCCTGCAGGGAAACAAGAGAGAGAGAGACAGAGAGAGAGAGAGAGAGAGAGAGAGAGACAGAGAGAGAGAGAGAGAGAGAGAGAGAGAGTAGGATACGGCGATGTTAGAGCACTGCAGAACTGAACTAATGCGTGAAAGCAGATCAACAGGGCATAGCTTAAGGATTTCATTTAGCTCGGACAAATGTCCTTCCGTTTTGAAATCTGTCCGGACATGCCCGGACATGTGTGAATTGACTGTAGCAACAACGCGTTGCTACAGGCGGATCAAGTAAATAAAATATTATAGTGAAGTCTACGCCTGAGACTACGGTGTACGTGTTAGTTGTACGATATGCAAGTCGCATTTGGCACGAAGCTCCGAAGAATGCCCAACTCTGCATAAAAAGGTCGAAAGGTCGCTGCTATTTTTTTACTTTTTGACCGGACACTATGTCCGGTGAAATTGAAAACGTTCAGTCAGTGGCCGAAAATGGCCGGAAAATGTCCGATGTCCGGCCGTTAATCTATGCCCTGATCAATGCTAGGCCGGAGTTATTTGAAATTATTTCCACACGGCCGACCTGTGCTATACTGTGTCAGGATAGAAACACACAGGCAAAACCACGCTACATTGCAGCTGTCTACGAAGCAATGTACAAGAAAAGCAAGCAACGGAAACATACTAGTACATGCCGACACACACGCACACACACACACGCACACACACACACGCACACACGCACACACACACACAAACACACACATACACACAAACACACACACGCACACACACACACAAACACACACGCACACACACACACACACACACACACATTACTGCGCAGGACAGTGAAGCCCTCACCTGTCCCCATGATGTCAACAAGCGTAATGAAACGTTCGATATGCTTGCGCGATGCCACCAGACCTTTGAGAAGCAGCATGCGAAAGTAGCGATACATATCACTAGTCGGGCCACCCATGACCTGCAGCGGCGTAGAGATGAGAACGAGAGAGAGAGGGGGAGAGAGAGAGAGAGAGAGAGAGAGAGAGAGAGAGAGAGAGAGAAAGAGAGAGAGAGGGGGGGGGGAGAGAGAGGGACAGCGAGACAGAGAGGGAGAGAGAGAGACGGAGAGAGAGACAGTGAGACAGAGAGAAACTGACTTTACTCACACACTGACCAACATGGCACATAATAAAGCACGGAACTCATGCAATAACTTCTGTCGGTCTACAGATTCCAGGGCAGAGTATTGTCAGCTTCTGGCTCTCATTCTCTGAGGGATACAACCCATTTTGGGCACATCAAAACTTCATCCTGTACTGCTACTGATTGCATTCACTTTTGCAAAGCGCATCACGTAAACACAAATCCAGCGGCACTAAATTTAGGCCTTGGTGGCTGAGGCGGAAAAGAGCCGACTATCTACTGTACCGGTGTGTGCCACAAGCCTGTTGATTGACAGTATAGGTGTGAGTCAGTGAGACAGAGCGACTAGTTTTCGTTTCTAAATAAATGTCGGTATTTACGGATGGTCCCTAATGCTGTGCCCTACAAGGCTTTTTTTTACATTTGGAAGTTGGACTAGTTTCGGCTCCACAATCCAGTGTGTCGTTACTATATTATCGCTTTCATGGCTGAGGTTGTCGGTATGTCTGTTGGCCCTGGGTTCCCAATACCCAGTAATCAGATAGCTTCGCAAGTTGTGCGGATTAGACAGTTATCTGGCGCTTGTCTTGATCTGGTTCAATCAGAATCAGACCCACTATCGTTGCTATAAAAGAAAATCTGGGCGTGCGCATCCAGTGCATTTGCAGATTTGCGTGCTTCTCTTGCGACGGGTGCATACATGGTACATGGTACAAGGTACAAGGCTTAGCGGTCTGCTTGTGAGTTTGCTAGCAGAGTTATGCCAGTGGCTTTCTTTCATATGATGTACAGGTGAATACTGCACGACAGCTGGCAAAGCATGAAATATTTGTCCACGTTTGCTAAGGCTTCTACTTTGGATAGTACTGAACACAAATCACTTATCACATAGCCAGTGTCACGTGACCCGTATCACATTGGGTATGTGGTGAGTAACTTGCTTTACATGCATGTACCCCCCCCCCCCCCCCCCCCCCAACACCCACCCACATGTACGACACCCACAGACACAGACACATACAGACATACACATACAGACACACACACGCACACAGACAGACAGACACAGACAGACAGACACAGACAGACAGACACACACACACAGAAGCCAAGAGCTGTGCTCACCTCCACAAAATCGCTGGTCATCTTGAATGGCGACGTCTCGAAGCCCAAATTGCCACCCGGCGAGTGATTCATGATGAAACCAAAGTCAATGTGTATGATGTGACCTTCGTCATCCAGTAGAATATTACCGTTGTGTCTACACTCGCACACAACAACAGGAAAGGAAAAGCAATGGGGAAGTTAGCCGCAACACAGGAGCACGGAGACAGCTGCCACGGTTGCATTAATGCACCAAGACGTAATGTGTAGAAACGTGACATGCTCACAAATATATGCATCCACTTTCCCCAGAAAAAACCTCACGACTGTTTCTTTACATCCTGATGAGTTACTGTGACCAAGAAAATGGATTCAGTGGAACAAAAACACTTCAAGACAACGAGTGGATATACTTGTTTTGAAGAACGTATATCAATATACATAAGAAACAGGCACCGTTAGAGTGTGATTCTGAGTCCCCGTCACCCGATTCCTCCGAGCTCAATCCGCGAGAACTGACAGCTCAATCAAAGGCATGAATTTGTTTGTTTCCGGAGAATGTATTCACGCGTAAGACTCCAGCAGCAAGACAGGCCAAACCCCGACAAAGGCAAGACCAAACTGTATCTTCTTTACGGTGTACGTAACGGCATGTAGTAGGTGTCGGCTAGATCTCTAGGTTGCGAAACGGCAAGGGAAGACAGCAGAGATAGAGAGGAAAGGAAGAAAGGAAAGAGACAGGGATGAGAAGTGTTCGGCTACTAACCTACCGCCACACTCACCTGTCTTTCACTTGAAGCAGGTAGCACACCAGACAATACGCCGCAGAGCTGTAGACAAAGTTTTGCCGCGCTGTCAGGAACGATTCCGATCGCTCTGAACCAAACTCCTAAGAGAGCAAACGTCAACAAATAAAATTTAAGTACACTGTAAGTTCTTCAAAAAGGCACTCGGGGGTTCTTCAGCTCACACACACGGTTCAACCAATATACATGGCCAGTACAAGGGCACATACATTATATACCTGACCAGTACAAGGGCACATACTGTAAGTCGACAAATATTCGGCGCAGATTTATTTTCGGCTATTTTCGGCCTGGCCATGTTTGGAAATTTCGTTTTCAAGGTTCAGTGTGACAGTGTATACAGGCGGCAGCAGTACAGGCCGAAAAATTGAATGGGCCGAAATGGGTGTTAGCCCCGGGACGCCTAAATTTGAAAGGGCCGACATTTTTTAGACTAACAGCACATTCTATACCTTTCCAGTACAAGGGCATATACATTCTATACCTGTCCAGTACAAGGGCATATGCCGTATTTGCCGGAGCATAGTGCGCACGTTAGATGTACTATTTCAAGCCTTAGATCGCAGGTGCGCCCTATGCTCCAAAGATGAAAAAATGCATGTACCCTATTTTCCCGATTATACGTCGCAGCCCCATTTTCATGTCCGAGCCAAATTGTTTCAATACATTCACATGAGCAGGAAGTCACACTCGATTGTAAGTCGCACACCCTTCTTAGCACCTGAAGTGTACATGTAGTGTAAAAAGGTGCGACTTATATTCGAGCAAATACGGTACTTCGAAAGGTAGTGCTATGCATCAAACTGTTGAGACGTTTGCCACCTCTGACCCCGCGCAAGCCATAAGTAAGCATTTCTGCCCATTCATCGGAAACTGTCCCGCTGGCTTTTGAAAGTCGGATTTGGGCCGAATTGAGGATCAAAAACCCACTTTAAATCTCAAAAATCTGGGATTTGGATCTGCTTCTCCATACATTTTGCCATGGCATACCTATCCCAATTTTGTAAAACCTGGCTAAATTACTACCAGCTACAAAACGTTGCTAAAAAAAGAAGAAGAGGGGTGCACATTACACTCAGGTGCGCAGTATACTCCAGCAAATACGATACATTGTATAGGCATGGCGGTTGCAAAATCATACCTTGTAGAAGTACTGGAGAAGAGTGTCCTGCCCTTTCCTCTGCTGATTGATCTGATGTAGCGACACCGCGTTGCAGATCGGTTCGATCATTCCACCGTCTATACTCGTGGGCAGCACTTCATACCTGCCCACGCCACGTCGCGCCACAACAAAAAGCAGGAAAGCAACCGTGTTTTAGTAATCGATCGGTGAGCCGGTCCCACCAAGAGAACGCGTTGCTCCTGCTGTAGCTACAATGACGACACGCAGAAAGTGTGTGAAGGGAAAGCTGGTCACCTAATTCTACATTACCCCCAAAACCTGTTAGGTCTCTGGCACAGGATCCATGTGACGGCAGGAGCTCCATTTTGCCATCAACAAAGCTGAGGAACAGTGACAGAACTATGTACATGTGCTTGGCACCGTTACGCTACATGCTCTATGCAACCTGCGATTTTCTTTCATACCGTAAAACCGGGAATTTTCGGTGGTGTAATATGTTTCGGTATTTCCCAATATCAACAGTTCGGTAGCGCAAAACTTTCGGTAAACCAGTTTTCCAGATCGAAAACTGCATTTTTCACTCTGTGCGGCATGGCATGGTTGAATTTTAGGTCGCGTTTTATTTTAGGTAAAAATTACCCGTACCGAAGTTACCGAAAATAAATCTCCGCCGAAATTTTACGGTTTAACAGTAGACAGATGAACAGAAAGATGGAGAGTGGATAAAAATGATAGCCAGAGAAACAGAGAGTGGATACGTTTTCACGCGCAAAGCAAGTGTGCCACATTCAAGTACTCACGGTCGAAGCCACAGATTGAGGTTTTCCTTTTTCCACACGTCCTGAGGCAAGGCAGCGCCAGTAGAGAGAGAGAGAGAGAGAGCAAGCAGACATAAAGAGAACACATTGATAAGACATCACGCGACAACATTGCACACTCTAGGGAGCGCACATAAATACCACAGCCCTAACATATAGACACCTGTCCCAGTATGACAGTATGTACACCTGCATTACTAGTACATCGGATATCCAGATAGCTACGTGCAATAATAATAATAATAATAATAATAATATTCGCGGGATCCGCGTTAGCATCACTTGAATGTTCAGAAACACACAAGCTATATCCGCTGGCCACCACTATGCCTTTTCACCTTAGTGGCAGATGCAGACCTCACAAGTGAGTCAGGGGAGAGGAGGTGAGTCTCTCAACCAATTGGGCGTGTAACGGCCCATAACCCTGTAAACTGCATCCTTGTTATCCTCACTCCGAGCTGTGAGTACCTACCCAGTTGACCGTGGGTGTCGGGGCAGTTCAACACGCACGCTCCCTGCTACCAACGCGGGTCTCGAACTCGGGACCTCATGATTCGCAGGCAGGCCTGCAAACCAATCGGCCACATGCGTTGATCTACGTGCAACCAGGAGACAAAGGGCCTTTCTACTTTAATAACAGCATTCAGGAACGCCTTGCTTTACCGGTAGACCACAATGTTAGTCGACATTTGCTTCTTTCTTTTTTCCTTTTCTTTTTAACTTCTGACTCTTTTCTTTGTTAGCCGTGGTTGGCTATAAAAACCCTGCAATCGCCACGCAAAGTGGTCATTGGCTACCCCAGCCATGTATTGCTTGGAAGATACAAAAACAAGCAGTAGATCACTATCAGCTCCACAACCAGTGCCACAACCATCAGCAGCATCAGCATCAGCAGCAGCAGCAGCACAATCATCAGCAGCACCACCACCACCACAATCACGACTCCATCCCCTGGTTTTCACCATTCGTGAGAACTAGGTCTGGTCTAGTGAGAAGGCATTCTGGTGAAGTAAAACAAAATAACAACAACCACCAGCAGCAGCAGCAGCAGCAGCACAAGCGCCATAACCACAAGCACCAGCAGCATAACCACCACCCACTAGCACAACAACTACCGTATTTTCCCCAATAAATGTACAGTCGTTTTATTTTTTTAAAGGTGGTCAGACCTGTACTACTATAGGAGACTGTACTAGTATTGGAGACGTGTACTTTTATTGTTTCTGGAAACATTGATTGCCTGGGTTGGATGGCAAACAACTCGTGATAATGATGCTGTAAGGCTGCAAATACACCCAACCATGGTAAGAATCAGTGTACAAAGACACAATGACGATGAACGGGTAAGAAAAACGAAGTAAGGTTGACCCTGGTATCTGTACCCCACTAATGCCCATCATATCATTCCGGCATGTACTATTAATAGAGACGTGTCCTTTTATATTTTCGATCCACACCCAACATGTACTACAATTGGGAACATACTACTAGTAATGGAGACGTGTACGTTTAATGGGGAAAATACGGTCACAATCTCCACAGCGTGTAATGTGCATGCACACAAGACACTGCAGCACGCCCCGTACATGCATACGATCGCACAGTAGATTCGCTATATACGTCAAGCGGCTTACATCGAACTCGGCAATCAGCTGACATGCAAGTGACTCTTGCCGTAAGTCGTCGCCCACTTTGATGATGACGGGTAAGAGCTGCCAGTTTGGGTAGTGTCCATAGGGCGAACTCTTTCGTATTCTCTGTACTTTCTCGTGCCATGGTTCCTTTAGTAGTGCCACTGTAACAAATGACAGAAACACACGCAGACAGTCACAAGTGACAGAAACACACGCAGACAGTCCATTCAGGAAATGATGTTAAGCTTGCTTTCGACCATAAATGAGGCAATTGTTGACCTCTCAAAAATGCTTTGCCATACAGCATTGAATCCTCTGACACTTACACTACCGAATGAGAACCAACGTCTCCAAAGGATGGACCACACTGAAGTTATTTTCTCAGATCGGTTTAGCTTGGATATTCGTACAGATGTACTTGCCCCAAACCTGTTTCTGGACTTGAAAAACAGTTCAGAGATCAAATATTCGCGTATGGACAGTACACAGGATGGGACAAACAAATTCCTTTGTCATCAACAGCCAAAAAAGCAATACCGATAATGTTCAGGCGATAGATCAGCTTCAGGAAGTTGGCAAGGGATAAGTACATGGAACCAATCACCACTACCACGACGGCAACCTACACAACTATCATATTTAACACCACCACCATCGCAATATCCCTCCACCATCCGAAGAAAACGTGACACTTACCTGACGCATCAGTGTACTGGCGACGTCGGTTCTTATGTGATTCCTTCAGCCGCTCGTACACATCCTTTGGACTGAAATTTACGTCCTGAAGTGACACGCAAATGCAAACGCAGGCACACATACACGCAGGCACACATACACACATACACACGAAGTAAAATAAAGAAACAACAACAACAACACACACACATCACAAACAAAATGAGAACTATGGGGATTGAAGTGACGTGACAGGAAGAGAGAGAGAGAGAGAGAGAGAGAGAGAGAGAGAGAGAGAGAGAGAGAGAGAGAGAGAGAGAGAGAGAGAGAGAGAGAGAGAGAGAGAGAGTGACGGAGAGAGAGAGAGAGAGAGAGAGAGAGAGAGAGAGAGAGAGAGAGAGAGAGAGAGAGAGAGAGAGAGAGAGAGAGAGAGAGAGAGAGAGAGAGACAGAGAGAGAGAGAGAGACAGAGAGAGACAGAGAGAGAGAGAGAGAGAGAGAGAGAGAGAGAGAGAGAGAGAGAGAGAGAGAGAGGAGAGAGAGAGAGAGAGAGAGAGAGAGAGAGAGAGAGAGAGAGAGAGAGAGAGAGAGAGAGAGAGAGAGCAGAACACCATGGATTAAAGTAGGCAAAAGGAAAAGCAGAGATCCAGTTCTTAGAGAGGGCACTCACTGCCGATGCCGGTGCGGCAAGGTCGTTACTTCTCGGCTTAGTGCTTGCTTCGGGTGAATCGGAAACCTGTGTGAGCATATACACCACAGCAAGCAGAACACATTTCCAACACAAACATCAGAGACAAGAGAGAGGGAAAGAAAAGCACACTTGCCCATCAATTGGGTTTCTGTGGCAAAGTGCCCACACACATGTGTTATGTTGCAACAGGAGGCGTAAGTTGGTGTATTTAACATACAGAGAGATAGATAGATAGATAGATAGATAGATAGATAGATAGATAGATAGATAGATAGATAGATAGATAGATAGATAGATAGATACATAGCAGACTCAGCGGAGGACGTTCAGGTTGGTTGTAACTCTGAGTTTCATGCCGCTAGGCAATCATCAGACAACCTGATACTCGGGTCTACCCAACAGTATGCTTATAAACACATAGGGCCACACGCATAAACAAATTTAGCGCTAAATCTGGTGTGAGGTATGGGGAGAAAGCTGGCGCGGGCCAAGGCGCGACAGTGGAAGTGCCAGGAGGGTGGCGGGCAACAGGCAGGTGTGAGCATGAAAGCGCGGGAAAGAGGCGATGGGGAGGCAGTGTACAGCAGATGTGTGGGGGGTGCCAGGAGGGTGGCGGGCAATGGCCCAGTGAGATCACTGCAAGTAGGGAGTCGTTTGGTGACGGGCAGGCGTGAGCAGAGTGGCATCGCCAACAACAGGCCAAGGGATTGTGTTATTAATAATAATGGGTGCTCAGGCAAAGTGCAGTACAGTACTTGGTCAGTTCATGTGATAGGTGTGAAATTGCGAGGCGGAACTTATTCTCATGCCTGCATTTCGAGACCATCTCAGACCGCTTGTTGAGTAGGAGCTTCTTGGGTGTAGTCAGGATGTGGAATTTTTCCGCGGTACAAAGATTGCATTATTTTGACTCACATCTGTATGATCGGCTCTTCTCGCGCACCTTCCATGTGATGGTCAACGGCTTTCCCTCGCTCTTCAGCTCCCATACGTGTTTTGCGAGCTCAGTGCTGTTTTTGTATTTTTCATGACGCATGGAGGTCAGGTGGTTGGCGTGACGGGCTTTGAAAGGTGTCTCTGATAGGCCGATGTAAATCTTGCTGGTAGATTCTGCAGTGGCCTCATACACAATCTCCTTCGTCTGGCACTCTCCGCGCAGCGGGCAGGATTCCTTAATTCTGCAGTTGCATGCCTTGGTTTGATCTGGCTCTCGCAGGTTGCTCTTGTTGTGGCTGCTGATGACCGCTCCCATGTTGGGCATACAACTGTAGCTCACTTTCAGAGTGTTACGGTTAAAAATCTTCCCGAGCTTGGATGTTTTCGGGAAGTGCCTGGAGACAAGGCTCAGGAACCTACCAGCGACGTTGGTGCTAACGTTTTTGGAGTAGGGAGGGTTGAACCATATGACCTTCCGGCTGCGGTTCTTCCTGCCCCTGTGCTCATGTGCCTCGGGCTGAAAGCTCAGCACTTCGGTGTATCCACTGGCCTTTAATGCGGTCTGGTACTATGTACTAAGCTCTGTCTCTGACATTGAGCACTCTCTGCAGCTCGGGGATCAACGGATTTTTTTTTTTTTTTTTTTTTTAGATAGATAGATATATATATAGAGAGAGAGAGAGAGAGAGAGAGAGAGAGAACTGCAGAGATGTACGTCACCGACAATGAGACAGGGCAAGGTGGTCGAATACACAGCCAATACAGGTTGCAAGGTGGCTGCAGTGTGCAAATAATGACCTGCCCACCCTCCCACCCACCCACAAGGGCGCCAGCAAAGAGTTTAAGACTCACGCTGAACACCACTCCAGATGTTGATGTCGGGGTGGGTTGTCGACTCGGTGCGCTTGGTATCGCATGATGTGATGAACTCCCTACGGACCTAAACACATAACCAGACACGCAAAGAAAGGATAACATGATCACACAGACATACTGTGAAAGCAGAAATTTTCGGCGGTGTAGTATTTTCGGTACTCTCCAAAATCGGCGGTTCGGTGGAGGGAAATTTCGGTAAACCCGTTTTCCAGGTAAGTGTACTAGTACCAAACCGAAATTTTCGGTGCGTTATATTTTCCGTAAAAATTCGAGCACTGAAGTTACTGAAAATATAACACCACCGAAAAGTTCTGCTTTTACAGTATTCAGATCAATTGATTACATGTGCAAGTATGCTTCTTCAACGCATAATGCAACATGGGTATGATTCTCATTGTAGATCTATCATACTGGACATACCTCCCAGTGTGTGTGTGTGTGTGTGTGTGTGTGTGTGTGTGTGTATGTGTGTGTGTGTGCATGTGCATGCGTGTGTGTGTGATCTCCGGCAGCCTAATCCGCCCGGCACTACCAGAACGTGGGATGCAGCGAGGGCAGATGAGCTACTTACCTAACAGTGGAGACGACGGGCTTCGGCACGGCAGAGTTGTCGAGAAGACGCGGGACGAGTGGAGAAAGAAACGTGTCTTCGCATGTCAACACCTCAACGTGAAGGAAAAACGGCGCCTGCAACACGAGAAAGTTGAACATAGAATTAACGAGAAAAGAATTTGTGAAATGCAGTGATTGAGCGTGAGCAATTGTTGCTCAAAACCTACTTTTACTAATGAAGCTGCGGGATGTGTTCTACAGGATTCTAAATAGAATAAACGCCACTGAAGAATTAACAATACAAAAACACACAAGGCACTAAGATGCCTTCAGAGTACACATACCTTGGTGCGCGAGTTGAGCAGGATGACTTCGGAGTAGGGGATGCGCGCAATCTGATGACGTTCGCCATCTCGGTGAATGATGAGCGGAATACGAGCCGGTAGATTCAGATTGATCTGCGAGATCTCCGCCTTGAGCTGCGCAATCTGCATGTCCTTCTGTTCGAGTGGTGGCAGCTTACGTCCTATCTCTTCCAGGCTACTGACAAAGTCCTGTACAGGATTCAGCCGTGCTGCCTGCACACACACACACACATACCACACACACACACACGCACACACGCAGAGAACAACAACCGCAAGATCATCAGGATTTAATGCACTGCAGGCAGAATGTAAGCAAACAGCTCTGACCACCCTACTCGCATGCAAAGTCAGCCCCTTCCCAACACACACACACACACACACACACACACACACACACCACACACCAGTATCCCCCCCCCCCCCCACAAACACACACACACGCACGCACACGCGTATCCACATCATGCACATAATCCGCAGACATAAATCTACTCACCCCACAATGACAGGCGGGGCGGACAGTTCCGCTCGCTATGCCTCTCGTTGGACCGGACGGCATGGACGCACCATCATCCAATACGCAGCCGCAGGCATTGTTGAACGCTATTCCAGTACCGAGTGGACACGACATCGCTCCAGTGCCCTGGGATAAGAAATATACAGTAAAGCCTGTAACTAAAGACCACCGTGACTAGCGACCAGATGGTGAAACAGACAACTTCGCCAGGCACGGACGGTCTCACATTCATACAGTAAAACCTGTAACTAAAGACCACCGTGACTAGCGACCAGCCTGGTACTACAGTAAAACCTGTAACTAAAGACCACCGTGACTAGCGACCAGCCTGGTACTACAGTAAAACCTGTAACTAAAGACCACCGTGACTAGCGACCAGCCTGGTACTACAGTAAAACCTGTAACTAAAGACCACCGTGACTAGCGACCAGCCTGGTACTACAGTAAAACCTGTAACTAAAGACCACCGTGACTAGCGACCAGCCTGGTACTACAGTAAAACCTGTAACTAAAGACCACCGTGACTAGCGACCAGCCTGGTACTACAGTAAAACCTGTAACTAAAGACCACCGTGACTAGCGACCAGCCTGGTACTACAGTAAAACCTGTAACTAAAGACCACCGTGACTAGCGACCAGCCTGGTACTACAGTAAAACCTGTAACTAAAGACCACCGTGACTAGCGACCAGCCTGGTACTACAGTAAAACCTGTAACTAAAGACCACCGTGACTAGCGACCAGCCTGGTACTACAGTAAAACCTGTAACTAAAGACCACCGTGACTAGCGACCAGCCTGGTACTACAGTAAAACCTGTAACTAAAGACCACCGTGACTAGCGACCAGCCTGGTACTACAGTAAAACCTGTAACTAAAGACCACAGTGACTAGCGACCAGCCTGGTACTACAGACCACTGCGCCAGGCACGGACGGTCTCACATTCATATACAATAGCATGGTTGTGCGGTGCAAACCTCTAACTAAGGACCACCTGCCACTAAAGACCGCTTTCCCTGGCCCCAAGGGGTGGTCGTTAGTCACAGGTTTTACTGCACAAATGACATGGTACACAGCTTTTCGTACGGCAAACCGGCACTAGCGAGCCATTGCACTGGGGCTTGGCTACACCATACAGTAACAAACCATATCAAAAGATGATTCGCCGGACAGTTTCCACATTTGATATCTAGATAATGAACAGAAGTAACTTTTGACAATTGTGATTCAATCAAGTAAACACTTCCTTCTATCATAGAAGGAAGTGTCTACTTGATTGTGTGTGGATTTGCGTCTTTGCATGCGAAGGTACAGATTGCGAAATTAATATGTTCGTTAAAACAATACAGGTCTCACAGTAGATGCCTTACCTGCACAACACTGCTGACATGCGGCAAGCCGCCGTTGCTACGGTAATGATGGTGCTGCGCGGCCGCCGCGTCCACGTGCATGTGACCGACGCCGAGGTCGGACTTGCTGCGACGATGGCCACCGCCGAAGTCCTTACGCACGGTCACCACGCGCGAGTGCTTGCCAGTGCCCGTGCTCGCACTCGCGGCGGCAGCTGCCGCGTTGCCTCGCTCACCCATGTCCATGGTGGGGACCGACGCGCGGGCGCTGGTCGTCCGGGCAACCTGCCCGTTCGCGATCGCCTTGGCGGCGCTGCCGTTCGCCTGGTGTGAGCTGCTGGACGGAGCGGTGACGTAGCCACGCGAGCTGAAGCCGGGTCTCAGGTCCTCGCTGGTGATGAGAAAGTGAAGACGACGGCCTCGACTACGTGCTCCCTGTGACAAGTAGCCATTGTTTAGTGTGCAGCTCAATAACCAGCTTACCTGCAGTGCAAGCACAGCAATAAAAAAAGGGGGGAAAACACAGAATAACAGGGAAAACGCCATTGGAACATAATGTGGGTCGTACGTGCATGCATAAGTGTGTGTGTGTGTGTGTGTGTGTGTGTGTGTGTGTGTGTGTGTGTGTGTGTGTGTGTGTGTGTGTTTGGCCCATGAAGGCCCGGCAGATGAATCGCCTGAATCTGTTTCATCGCTCATGCGTCCGTTCCATCTTGGGAGTCTCAAGGAGCGATCAGCACTCCCGTCATCTTACTACTGCTGATCTAGCCCAGAGAGCGCGTCTTCCTGAGGACATTGGCACTCTCCTGCGTGAGTACCGTCTGCGTAGGCTGGGTCATGTTGCCCGTATGGACGCGGCCCGGATTCCTCAACAAGTGTTGTTTGGGGAGCTCGAGGCAACCAGACCACGGCATGGGCCAAAGAAGCGTTGGCGAGACACGATTGTTGGTGATCTGCGCTCGCTGGATATTCCGGAGTCCGAGTGGTATCGGCTCGCACAAGAGATCGCCCGGAATGGCGCAGGCGGGGTCCATCAACATCGTCTTCCTCCCCCGGCACCGAAGGACTTTCATTGCGCATGCGGCAGAGCGTTTAGGAGAAGTGGCGATTTGAAGCGTCACATCAAGTACTGCCCAACTCAGTAGCCTATCATCTCCACTGGAGATGGGGCGTCAAAGGTCAAGGTGTGTGTGTGTGTGTGTGTGTGTGTGTGTGTGTGTGTGTGTGTGTGTGTGTGTGTGTGTGTGTGTGTGTGTGTGTGTGTGTGTGTGTGTGTGTGTGTGTGTGTGTGTGTGTGTGTGTGTGTGTGTGTGTTGTGTGTGTGTGTGTGTGTGTGTGTGTGTGTGTGTGTGTGTGTGTGTGTGTGTGTGTGTGTGTGTGTGTGTGTGTGTGGTGTGTGTGTGTGTGTGTGTGTGCGATCACGTGACCCTTTCGCGGCAGTTACTCTACATGACAGGGCAGGTGTGTGTGTGTGTGTGTGCGTGTGTGTGTGTGCGTGTGTGTGTGTACATGGTGTGTGCGTGTGCGCGAGAGAGAGAGACAGAGAGAGACACAGAGAGAGAGAGAGAGGGAGAGAGAGAGAGAGAGAGAGAGAGAGAGAGAGAGAGAGAGAGAGAGAGAGAGAGAGAGAGAGAGAGAGAGAGAGAGAGAGAGAGAGAGAGAGAGAGAGAGACAGACAGAGAGAGAGAGAGAGAGAGAGAGAGAGAGAGAGAGAGAGAGAGAGAGAGAGAGAGAGAGAGAGAGAGAGAGAGAGAGAGAGAGAGAGAGAGAGAGAGAGAGAGATACGGAAAAGAGCAATTGCCAAAACTACTCCTTTGTAGATAGATAGATAGATAAAGACAGGCAGAGAGAGAAGGGTGATGATGACTTACCCGTAATGAGAAGACGATACCATGACAGCAGCGATAACTAAGGTACTGATTGATGGCCTCGGCCACCTCCTCTTGATGTACATACATGTGACTGCAGGATGGACAGCGCATGTGCACGCACATGGGCACAAGAACAAATACACACCTCGGTTATCCGGACCCGAAGTGGAGTGAGCATATTGAAAACCAGTGATCAGTGTCCGCATCCCAGTAAAATCAAACAAATTCACATCCACACCATTCTTCTTCAATACATACTTTTGAAAGGAAAGCACAGACCTGCACACGCACCCCCCCCCCCCCAGAAGGCGCCAGCAGAGATATTCCGTTGCCACTCCCTTGCAGCCTGCCATTCTACGACAGGCAAAGCATCCACTACTCTTGCCCCTTGCGCTATCATAAGACAGCACAACTTCACCAAGCACTAGTAGCAGTTTTGAACGTCGTGATCCCAAGCCATCTTAAATCGTATACAGGGTAGAGAAGACTTACATAATCTGAGGCAGGTATTTGTCAACCTCGCTATCAGCAAATGTCTGGGCATCGAGAACACAAGAGACAACAGCGCAGAGAAGCAGTGGAATTAGCTAGAGCGGTACATTGGCACGTAGATATGAAGAGTTCAAGCTACTGAAGTATAACGTAGTGTCTAATTGTATTATAGCCGGTCTCATATTGAAGCCTGTTTTGAATACAAGCCTGATTTTCAAGATACACCGTCGGCACATAAGCCTGATTTTAGGGTTGACAAACATAGAAATACCTGGTTTGAATAGAAGCCTAGCCCTTACATCGGCTACTACAGGAATAAGCCCGGTTCTAATACGTGACGTTACGGTACTCGAATTTCACTTGGGCCCGGTTATTATTACTGCCTTGTCTGAAATATTAATAAGCGTCACCAGGGCGTTTGTTTGGATTCTCTTCAAATTGGGTGACATTCTAGGGCTCGCAAGCTGCTAAGCGCCTCGGGCCAGTATTGCTAAAAACATGGTATGTCGCGGAGACCATTCCACGGCAGCTGTTCCAGCATGATGCATGGCGTATGCGAGTATGACGTCAGTCAAACAGGGACAGGATGGTATTACGCCCTACTGTGAGCCGGGATCACCTACAGATTGCAGATCATCTACAGATTGCAGATTGCCTACAGATTGCAGATTGCCTACAGATTGCAGATCATCTACAGATAGCAGATCATCTACAGATTGCAGATTGCCTACAGATAGCAGATCACCTACAGATTGCAGATTGCCTACAGATGGCAGGTTGCCTACAGATTGCAGATTGCCTACAGATAGCAGATTGCCTACAGATTGCCTACAGATTGCAGATTGCCTACAGATTGCAGATTGCAGGTTGCCTACAGATTGCAGATTGCCTACAGATAGCAGATTGCCTACAGATAGCAGATCACCTACAGATTGCAGGTTGCCTACAGATTGCAGATTGCCTACAGATTGCAGATTGCCTACAGATTGCAGATTGCCTACAGATTGCAGATTGCCTACAGATTGCAGATTGCAGGTTGCCTACAGATTGCAGATTGCAGGTTGCCTACAGACTGCAGATCACCTACAGATTGCAGATGACCTACAGACATGTTTTTTCTTCTTTCTTTTTTTCCTTTTCGTTTTTTACTATTGACACAGCCCTACCGGGAAACAGGTGGAGAACACAAAGAAACGAGGAAAAGGACAAAACATAGGGGATGTAAGGACGACGTGCCGATCTGCTGGGAGCAACTCAACCGACCAGAGGTCTCGGCGTCAGGTCACGTCTGGTGCATGGTAAAGCTGTCCACTGACTAGTACGGTACTGGCATTTGAAAAAAGGCAGATATTTAAAGGAGAGGTAGCCAGGTATATGCATGTAACGAGAGATGCAGACGATAAGGAGAGATATTCGATGTTTGGTGTTCCATTCAAGTTGCTACAGCAACATCCGTCCCCCGGCAGGTAAGTTGATTTTGTGGACGCGCAACTTTCCATGCTACTGGCCTCCATCCGCGTTTTCGAGAATGTTCGTACAAAACCAGCATAATCCATGAGAGAGTGTACAAGGAAATACCGGTGCATTGCAGTACGCTACGTTGAAAACGTACTACAGTGTAGACAGAAAGTTTCAATCATTTCGTACAGTCGTGGCAAAGCAAAGTCAAACACTTGCCATAGGGGACAGCGCCACAAATGGACACCAATAACGCAATGCACTTCACCTAATTTGTGCATTAGAGCCATATGCATCCCAAACAGTCGAACGGTCACAGTGTAGATACACACAGTTTACAGAAATGGGTCGCATAAGGAATATTGGCAACCGGTGCCAATTCATATTTTTTGAAGCACCTTTGAAACTTTCAGGTGAACCTTGACTGTGATGAGTACGCGTACTGTCATGTCATGAGACAGATACAAGTTATATTGTACACATGTACTATGTATGCAGGGCTGCACGCTGCACGGTGTACCGTAAAAGTCCGTAAATAAGTACCTGCCGGAAAGAAATACTGTACAGGCAGAACATTTCGTCGGTCAATAATTTCGTCCAACTTCAAAGAAAGGGATTTCGTCCGGTTGAAAACTTAGTCCATGGACTATAATAGTGTGTTGAAACGCTGGACAAATCGACATTCGTCCGGCACTTAATTTAGTCCCAAAGCTCCTTGGACGAAAAAGACGAAATTAAATTCCAGACGAATATTTCTGCTTGTACATTACCCCCTTCATTCTTTTGGCTCTGTCTGTTGAAGTCAAGTCAAGCCCGATAAACATACTGCCCGAAAAAAGTACCGGTACGGTGTGCACATGCCGCACGTAGCATGTACATCGACATGAAAATGACTTCTCCACTACACACAAGTCAGGTCCGAAAGTTAGTTCGTGCCCGAAAGTTAGCACGGGTGTGATCACTGAATTCGAAAGTAAATACGTACTTATTTACGGACTTTTACGGTAGTCCCCTATGCCAAGTGTCGGATTTCGCTTGCCATGACTGTAGGAGTACGTGTGCAGGACAGTTGCACACCATGACTGTGTACATGTGTAGGACAGTTGCACACCATGACTGTGTACATGTGTAGGATAGTTGCACACCATGACTGTGTACATGTGCAGGACAGTTGCACACCATGACTGTGTACATGTGTAGGACAGTTGCACACCATGACTGTGTACATGTGTAGGACAGTTGCACACCATGACTGTGTACATGTGTAGGACAGTTGCACACCATGACTGTGTACATGTGTAGGACAGTTGCACACCATGACTGTGTACATGTGTAGGACAGTTGTACATGTACAGCAGCTGTAGATGTGTACAAAAGATGTAAACCAGTTGTACAGGTGGGGGAAAGTTATACATAGGGAAGTATGCAATACTAGGGAGGTTCTGCTCTACGTTTTGGGAACGCGACGCAAAGAATCATGCGAACTTTCTTCGCGTTCCCGTAACGTAAAGAAATGCTGTTCTGCTCTACGTTTCACCTAGAGAAGTCACGTGGAATGTGTACTAGGAATTTCCCCTTCCATATTTGGCAGTTTTCTGCATGCAGTTGAACGATACCCAGCAAATCCGTACGCATTTTCTCTGCGTGTGCCACAACGTAGAGAACCCCATCTCCGCGTAGAAATCTGGAGCCAAAACACGCGAAGCCGTAGACTCTAACCCAGACACCTGCTCTCTACGTGATTTCTCTACGTTTCACGTATAGCAGAACCTCCCTACTGTCCCGCCGTTAGGCTTTTGCGGGGCAAGTCCACTACAACCCTACACACGGCAAGAGTACATGACCCCCAAGAGTGTGCAACTGCCTGCACAACCTCTATGTAGTGCTGCGACGGCAGAACTTCACATCACGTGACATGGTTCAAAAGGTTACACTGGCAAACAGTGCAGTGCAAAGTGACCACAAGAGAGTTGTACCCAAAGCTGGGTTGCGTACAACCCTGTATCAATCATGCACAGAGTGCAAATAATGTGTACGGGTTCATCACGTGATGTGAAGTTCTGCCGTCGCAGACCCCATAGCTGGAGTTGCACACTCTTGGGGGTTATATCTCTTGCACACGGTGATAACAGCTCCACATAAAAATTCATGAGCAGTGTACACATACAGTCGCAGGCACAAATGTACTAGATCTATAGACCTGATTGCTGTACCTGCCAAATATGGGACAAGTTGCCCTGCAAAGAAAAAAGAAATCATCGCTGCAGACATGCCGGCAAGAGTGCCATAGTGTGCAGCTCTGCTTGGTTTGGCTCACGGCACAATCATTAACTGCTATTGCCGTCAACTTTTCTGGAGATCACGAGTCACACTGCAAGAGGCATGCACTACGGAGTCTTTCGCAATGACCAGTACCATGCGGAACAGGAACGCTGCTCGGTAGAACGCAAAACGATTGATGACGAAAAATATTTCCGTGCTATGCGATATCCACGGCAAATTCATTCATTAATATCATATTTGAAGGATTCCCCAAAAGTACATGGAAACTTATCAGGGGAGTTTCCTAGAAGCGAAACGGCACGCATAAATCTTGACTGGCACTGGTGAGAACTGCAGGACGGTCCATCGTGACCCCGAGACCTGGTCATTACCTAACACATCTCTCTGCTATACTCTGGGTCTTCACAAACACTCGACGGCTAGGACTTCTCAAGTTCTCAAGCGCCAACAGGCTCAAGTCCATGTTGAATTGTTCATGGAATCGCAGAGTCCGCGGATGCGGCATGGGCGAGCGGGAACAGGAGACGATATGGGTTCCGTTCCTGGCCTGCCGTCCACGCCGCCCCTGCGGCAGAGCAAATTTCTCTCCATGCTCACCCCTGTTGCATCGCTGACCTGGGCTGCATTTCGGGTCATGAGGCTGACCGCGATCGCAATCGGAAGATTTAAAAACACTGTCACGTAAAGGTTCCAAATACGGGGCTGGGACGCAACTTGCTTTTGGTGTTGTGGTCTTGCATTGTCTCCGAGTTCACTGCGACTGTACATGACATGTCCAACGCTGGCGTCAAGTCCTTGATTTGTAGTCGCAGTGCAGCATTGTCTTATCATATCCCCAATTCGTTTAGATACTCGTGCACGGCGTGACGCCTATGTCTGCACTACTTTGAACGCAGTACAGTGTCAGTATGACCTGCCTGCTCTGTGTGTACAGATCTGTATGACTGCATGCAAGCTGAATGTTGGACTACATATAAGGACTTGTTGACAATGACAGTGTGTGAGCACAAGATTCAAGTCTCATGGATGTGAGTTCGCCGCCGGTTCCAAGGACGCGCGCACACGCACACAGACAGAGACATCGCCGCACAAACAGTAGAGGTACGAGTGTCTTTAGACCCGGCCAGGATGCGGACGTTTATGGGTAAGGTCACAACGCGACCTACAACGGTAAACACACGTTCGAAACTCCAAAGAGCAGCGGGGTAAAGAGGCGGCATAGCACACTTTTGAAGTTCTTTCCAAACCGATAAACGGGACACTGGTGAGAAACCCATAAAGGACCATCTATTGATCAGAAACAAACTGAGATACGTGCCTAGGAATTCAAGCCCCAGGGACCTTGACTGCACCCACATATCCTATAATTATAATTTTGAATGGATGCACACAAAACGTTTTTGTAACAGAAAATCGATCACTCACAAATAACTTATTGGCAAGATACTGCAAGACTCCCGGTTCGCTGGTTTTGAACAGATACTCGACTGTCATGGCTGGATCGCAGTGGTTGGATTGAAACAGCCTCAGCAGCCATGAGTTTTGAGCAGGACCAACCGACTGCAACACCGATGCAGGCACATCGGGACGACGAGGGGATTGCTGCGCGTTGTGGGGCGGGCTACACGACTTCTGACTTTGTAGCTCCGCCATCTCCTTCATGGCTTCAACCAAAACTGCCCTTCCACTCGACTCCCCAACTGGGAGACCCTACAAAGACATTATCGGTTTGTTCAAGTTCAATATTTCAAGATATAAAAATTTCACAACAACAATCTTGCTCTGATGATTTGCTTGAACGAAGGCAGGCTAGGCACTCCATCGATCCTGCTTTGGCCTTGGAGTTTGCCGCTTGTTTCGAGTGCATCGCCTGCGGCTCCTTGTGAGAAATCCTGGCCGTTTTGACGCCCCTGTTTTCAAATACCGCCAGACATTCATCACTGAAATCCGTTTCCGCAGCGATCTTGCCTCGTAAACCATGGCAAAGTAGCAATAAGGACAAAATTCGAAAGATTCTTTGCAACGTTTTTGAGTTTCATGCTCTTGAATCACAGCACGTGCTCATTCGATATTCCTCAGCCTAGCCTGCAATGATCTCATGCATTGTTCGGATCCTAAAAAGTAAAAGACTGCCCCACTTCGCATGTTCTTGCTTGATTTTGTGCCTCCATAAACTAACTTTACTTGCAGAAGCGCTTGAGTTTGACCACGGGTCATCATGGATGACCTCAAGTGGCTGACCTTTTTGTCAAGTGTTATGTTGCTGAGTGCGTTTTGCTCGAGGACCAGTCACCTGAATTCTCGGTCGGTGCAGCATTCGAAATATTTAAAAAAAAAATTTTTGATGGACAATCTTTCTGGCCTCATCAGCCACAACACAACAGAACCAGGTCATAGACTGACATGTCGACAGTCTGTGAGATATTTATTTGTTGGGGGCCGGGGGGGGGGGGGGGGGAACCAATCCCGAAAAGATTGTCTGGGTTCGTGAAAGGGGGCACCCGTGCAAGCCAGCACGTGTGAAGTGCATCGTTTTGTATTCAGTTTGTGTGTGTCAGCTCATGGCGGAGGAGAGAGAGACTTTTGCTCGCCGAGCTGAAGCTAAAGGATTTGATGGAGTCCTGCCAGCAGCTAGTCAAAGGACCTTCGGTACCTTAGGCAGACCCTGACGGAGTTTGGAGGCCAGCAAGCTCTCGGTGAGGAGAGAAACATTCACGTGGCGATGGACTCTCCGTAAAAAATGCAAGCTACATAGCGCCGACATACTGCAACAGCCGTCTACGATTTCAGCTAACTAACTCGATCTGCCGCTTCACAAAGTTCAACTATTTACAAGTCCTGACTGTTGTAGTCTGAAGCTGGACTCTCATCGCCCACCTACAGGTAGCTTTTGGAGCTGATGGATTTCCCGACTTGGACTCCTTCCGCAAACTCTCGCAACATTACTACAGTGTATGCAGTGTTTCCGCACGCTCGTGTCGACATGTCACCTATTGTACATGTACCGGGTCGCGGAGGAGCTTGACGACCTCCGCTGACTCCAGGTTTCCGAAATACTGCCGTCGTCTTCGTTGATGTCGCTGGTGACATTCTCCCCTTGCAGGACGTGCGCATAGTTGTCGTCCCGGGGGTAAAGACTATGTTGTCTTTCGAAATAGTTCTTCATCACGCTCGCGCGAATGATGTTTCTCATCATGAACTCGTTCCGACGGTGTGACACGGCGATGGTCTTTGGCGGGGCACTGGTTTGGCGAAAACGATATCTTCTTGTACAATATAACACTGATCGGCTGCAGATGAGTACAGTCACTTCGTGGTTGGTCCTATAGGAGGGCAGCTGCCAGGAAAGAGGCAGAACTCATCGAAGACGAAGCGCTCGCAACAAACAATAGCACTCGAAATATCTCGTAAGATTTAGGGCCTATCGCTTTGAGCCACAGCGCTCACAGCCGTGCCTACTTCATCAAAGTGAGCTCTACATGTTCGTTGACCTCTTCACACTACACAGAAGAGCGAAACAAGGATTATGTCTTAGCATTTCAACTCCAACAGCAGACCATTACCAGTGCGAGAGAGAAAACTACAAACGGCTTTGCTTTCTGTCGCATCGTCTCTCTTGCATGCAACTAACGAGAAAACCGTGTACTTACCCTCGCATTCACACGCGAACTATCAAACACGTCCTGTTATGTGTCGCATGCTGATCAGGTAGTGTCATGTATGTGTTGTACAGTGTACTCTCTGTTGACATGCCCCCTTTCGAACCCAGACAATCTTTTCGGGATTGGTCTAAGCGCCATCCTCTCCCTGAGCATGTGCTGCCTGCCTGCACGCAGTTATTGATCGCCATTCATTATTAAATTTTCAGGCTGGGCTTCGTAGAAAGTGTAGTCATTTGCCATGCTTGTGGCTCAATGTAGCTGAACCATCGGACCTTATTTGTCAGCTTGGATCACGTGATCCATCCAGCTGCCGCGTGCGGCAAACAGCCCAAATAGCGCTAACTCTGGCCTGCGAGCGTTTGCTGCGACTAGCGCGCTAGCGCTCGTGACATACACAAACGCGCTAGCCAGAATGCTTTGACTTTGATGGCTTTCAGCTTCTATTTTTTGAAAAGTAGCGCGCTCAGACCAGCTCGCTCATGAGCTCACTCTTTTCCTCTTCCATTTTTTAGGGCAATTGTTTTGTTTGATAGACGAAGCTTAGGGTCTCTTTGGGTTTGCAACCCTTACCCTCCTGGAAAAAATCATGGTTGCTAGACTGCGACACTTCAGACCAGGCACTATTAGAGCCGCTAATGGACGACGAGTTATTTTCCGCTATCCGGAGCTCAAGCATTTGAGCCGCTAAATGGACGAGACTCCTGGGGTAAAGAATGAGGAGAAAACACTCGTATGGAGCAGGGAGTAGGTATTGTACTACTTCCTGGTATGGAGCACTGAGAAGCGGTAAGTCTTAGGGCAATTCTTAGCCAGTAATTACTTTCTCGCCATAATTATGTTCTCGTTTTTCGTGTCTTCTGTAATGCCAGTACACTAGCAGTACGACTACACTGTAGGCGAGAGTCCATAAGCCAGAGTGTGCAGCTCTCCATCTATGCAGCATAAACAAATTAATGACAAATTTCCTAAGGGCTGGGTTCCACTGCCGCTCCGCCGCACATCATCCACGGCATGAAACGTCATCGTTTACGAGCTGGTCCAGCGAGGCCGCGGCTCATCACCAGCTTTCGCTTCGCTGCTTGACACAAAAAAATGCAAGCCGCGGTCACGGCTTGCATTGTTTCCCGCACTTAATTGATTTATTCGGGGGAATTTTAATTCGTTGCACAGGCCAGAACACGAGGATTTTTTTGGATTTCACGCGCGCGCAGGCAGGCTAAATGTCATCAAAAAACGTCGAGCACGATCGCGGTACCGTGAATGGCGAGTGTCACTGGAACCGCGCCGCTCTGCTGCATGCAGCCAAGTACCGTGGAGCAGCGGAGCTGCGGAGCCGCAGTGGAACCCGGCCCTAACCAAACTTATAGCAATTTGAAAATGTTTGATAATTTTTCATAAAAAACTTGACAACGTTGTTCTTCTGTAGAGTGCCGCTGGCAACTCCATCGATGAACTCCATCAATGAGCGCAGGGATAAAGTTTAGAAACCCTTCGAGCGAGAACGTGTTTTCAAAAAGGAAGCACAAATATGCCGCGAACTTCCCCTCTAGTATGGCCCCATCAAAGCCACTCACTGACTACTTACCAGTAAAATGGGGTTGGACGGTTGTCAGATTAGCTGACATGTTTTCTGCCAACACAACCATAAGCAGTTGTCAACTCTCAAGACTAAAAGAGCTTGCGAAGAAAGTGAGAAACCTTGGCTATGAAAGCACATGAAGCGTCAACATAATCGAGCAAACTTGGACCTAGATTACCAGTGTCTGCTCCAGAGCCGGGTCAGTGGCCCTGTTTGTGAGTACTTGGACCTTTTGGAAAAATAGTATAAGTGAAGCGGACATTACAAAATGATGAATGAGAATACATGTATCTAAAATGGTTGTTCCTAATCGATTTTCTTGAGGGAAGATCGTGTTTTTTAGTTTTTTTTCACACCTCACCTTGTATACTTCCCACTATCCGATAACCTATAAGTAGTTTGTTTCTCCGTATAGCCTCTATTGTGAGACGATTTTCCCTGATGATAGTCTCCAGAAAATCGATTAGGAACAACCATTTTAGATACATGTATTCTCATTCATCATTTTGTAATGTCCGCTTCACTTATACTATTAATCGCATTAATAAAGTTATTGTCTCCTCGTCGCCTTTTGGAAAAAGAACACTGGGTTACCTGCGACCCGGTCGGAAGTCCTGTCGAGTACTATACTTTTTTTATACTTCGAGGGTATACCGCCACTGACAGGCTGCACACGCGTGCAGATACGTGCGGCCAGAGTGCCCAGTGCGAGTACGTTCATACATGTACATGTACAATCATGTACATCAGGAAGTCGAAAGTAAGTTTACGACTCCCTGACACACAGTAGCCGCACTTGAACGCATCTGGCCCTGGCCCAGTGTTGTAGGAGTTGTGCCAGGTAGACGTGTACCCGGTTTGTGTTAAATCTTAGAGCAGGTACTGCATACCCTATCATATCTGTGTACATGGGTATACAGAGTCAGTGTTGTTGCGTCCCACTCAGCACCCTTCTGGTTCATTTCGGCACCAGCACTCTTTGCGTATGCAGAGCTGAGTAGAGTGCAAGTTCGGACCACAAGTACACTGTAGCAGCTAGTTGCGAACCTAACCTGTGCCGTGATGCACGGTACTTGTGTGCATCTACTTTATCCCTGAGTAACCCACCAGGTATATGGTGCACGATAGGGCACAGTAAATAATCAGCATGCATCGCAGTTTTCTGCAACATACATGTATTCCTGAAGTCACTTTACACCTCAGAAGAATTGCGTCGCTAACTGTTAGTTATTCCCTGGGTCATTATGAATCGTAGAAAACCCGTCATACAATAGGTTCAAGCTAAAGTACCGTATCACCATGGTACAGTCTGTATCGGCTATAGAGTGACCGGATATAAGAATATATCGGCTACAGTGATATTGGTACGAAATATCAAAAGCAAAACGTATTTTATCCAGTACAAATATCACTATAACCAATATTATCGGATGTAATGATATATCGGATATTATGATGGCAACATAGAATCAAAACATGCATAACACACTACATTATAATCGGCTATAGTGATAACTTTAAAATACATGTTGCAATAATATCAAAGGCCCTATTTTTTTTACTTTCTTCACGTTGCTTATTTTGATAGTGACACATGTACATGTACATAACAGAATTTTTTATGGAAATGCGGGCACTGTCAACTATGCAGCATGCTCATTTGTCAAAACGCCATGCTGGAAGTATTCCCTTGCCTTTCATGTGTCGCTCGAAAAAAATCGATCATATCGCATATAGTGATGCATCGGTTATAGTGATAAAATCACGGAAATCAAAAGGGTACGCTATAGCCGATACAGACTGTAATTACCTGGAAATTCGGTGTGTTTTCTACGTTTTTGTTAACCCTTTGTGTACCAGGCATCTAATGTATGCGCGGGGTACTCATCGGTAATGATGGACCTATAGCATAAAACTAAGACACATTTTGTATGTGCAAGTTATGTTTTTCTGAATCTGCAGCAATGTGCAACAGAAATTACTGATAGAGTAGATGACCGTGTGAAGCGGTGTGAGATGCAGCAAAGGTGAGCCTGTTACTGCGAGTCTATGCCCTAAACAATAAACTTTGCCGTGGGATGATTCTCTTTGGGCTGCACACTCTGGTTAATGTACTCTTGGTGGCAGCATTCTGGTGCCAAAGATGATATTTTTTCAGAAAAATAAGCACTAGAGAAATGGAGTGGGAGTAACCTGAATTATTCTATTAGCAGAGCTGCAATGCTTGGGATATGAGATTATTCCCGTAGCTATGCAAAAGACGCTATTCAGTTGTACTTTAGTAGCATCTGGCGCTAGCCAGCATCCACACCGCTGTAATTCAGTGCGTGTCACGGTGCCTGGTAGGGTGGTTCACGTGGCATGCCATGGTTGGTGCAGTATCCCGTATGTGTCCCGTACTGTAATTCGAGTATGCGGTGCGCACCGTAGCATAGATGTATCTGGAGCGCTGTACGAGCTAAGATGTCGGGGCAAATATGGGGACATTCACAACATGCAATGTGAATATGCACGTCAGTTTCGTTTTAAGAAGTGGGTTTGACGGAGTAAGAAAAGGCCCCAGCTTTGGCTGCTGCATGCTAGCCCAGTGGGTGCCAATCTCCTGCCATCGGCCGAGTGCTGATGGAACGGAGTAGAATAAAAAGAAAGAAGAATATTGCGTTCAAGAATACAATTTCGGTAAGGGATATACAGTAAAACCTGTAACTAAAGACCACCGTCACTAGCGACCAGCCTGGTACTACCGGCCACTTCGCCAGGCACGGAAGGTCTCACATTCAAAATGCACTGTGACTAGCGACTACCTTCTGAACGCGACCAGCGACCGCCTTTTCCTGTCCCAAACACAATTTTTGACCCGTAACTAGCGACCGCGATGTAGGAAATCAAATGTTGCTCGAAGCTCCTTCTTGAAATTTTACTGATTTTCCATGGTCCTGAAAAGAATCTTTCGATACTACAGCTGAACAAATGAATGCAGGTAATTTGGGCTGTGGAGTCGGTGTGGACTGCACTACACCTGTCAAAATTTCAAGCGCTGTCAAGAAAAAACATGATAGGAAACGTCTTGGAGAGCGCATCGAAAGCGCTCTCTGATCGATGTTACTATTCGGAGGAGAAACGAAGACTGGGCGGCTCTGTCACCCCAGTCATACAGACGGATCGACGATGGCATCAAGGAATCCAGAAACAAAGCAGCACCACAAGGTCCTGATGCTGAAGGATCGCGTTCAAGCAATCAAGAAGTCACAACAAGGACAGTCGGTATGATTGATCGCATGAACAAATTTGAAGCCCAGCGCGAAACGAAACTTCCCCAGGGAACGTTTGACTCCTGGCTTCAGAAGTAGCAGCTGAATTTGAAGTCTGCAAAAAATTAATCTTCTCTCTCTCTCTCTCTCTCTCTCTCTCCATCTCTCCATCTTTCTGACATTGCGCAAGTCCTGGGGAATTGTATTAGCTCTGCTGCATTTTGACATACATATCATATAATGGGATCCACATATGGTCACGCGGTGCAAACCTCTAACTAAAGACCACCTGCTACTAAAGACCGCTTTTGCTGGCACCAAGGGGTGGTCGGTAGTCACAGGTTTTACTGTACCGGTAAGTGGATAGCTAACTAAAATAATTAGCCGTATGGTTTAGAAATAGTGGTGGCGACTCTGGATGGCAGTCGTGAGTCCGTCAAGTGTCAAGTCGACGGAATATCGCGAGCTCCAGTGTGGGGAGCAAACCCATTCCTAGGTTAGCATCCCCCCACCTCACAACAGAGCAGCCGAGTTTTGGATTAAGCTGGGAGTGCCGATTCGAGCAACTGGTATGATGGCTCTGCTTGGAGCCACTAGATGGCTCGCAGCTGAGCCGGCAAATGACTCCGCTTGGAGCCGTCAAATGACTCCGCATGGAGCCACCGAATGACTTCGCATGGAGCCGCCGAATGACCCCGCATGGAGCCGCCGAATGACCCCGCATGGAGCCGCCGAATGACCCCGCATGGAGCCGCAAATTGACTCCGCATGGAGCCGCCTATGACTCCGCATGGAGCCGCCAATGACTCCGCTTGGAGCCGCCAATGACTCCGCATGGAGCCGCCAATGACTCCACATGAAGCCGCCAATGACTCCGCATGGAGCCGCCAATGACTCTGAGTAGAGCCTCCAAATGCTAAATATATTGGTATGCATAACCAGTTGAGAGCATATATTCCATAAATCGGCACTCCCGGAGCGGATCACAAAGTGCAGCTACCCGTGCAATCTGTAAGCGGTGCAAGCTAGGTAAAGACTGTCAGAACTTGATATCATGGGCTGAGGCCATTGCTGCAGCCACCCATACTTTGGCTGCAGGTGGCGTCCGAATGTTACTCGGGCAGACATCGCTTTCCACCTTCCCGCCTCTCTGAATATCGAGTCCCGCAGCTGATTCGAAACGAGTGGCTGGTGTACAACGCCAGGCCAAAGCCACAACTGATGAGCAATATCCTTGCAGTTGCTGTAAATGCCCATCGATTGGCATTCGCAGCTGATGCCGCTAGTTTTCCCAGGTGCTGCGGGCTGCCACTATTGCAAACAACCCTTTGCGATTGCTGCTCTGCTTGATTGACTGTCCATCGCCCTATCCCCGGTCGCAATTGTACGAGCACCGGCCAAGTGCACCACTTGCATCAGTGAATACCAGCAAGTCGGGGGACGGCGTCCATTTAGGGTGTAGGAAGAAGGACCGGCCGTTCCGCTAATCCAGGAGCTCAGGCCATCAGCGAAGATCTTTGAGGCACTCTTTGGAGAGCTTGATCAGGTAACACGGCTGCCGGTACCAGTTGGCAAGTGACCACAATCTGCAATTTGCATCCAGGGGCTATCACTCTTGTAGCAAACGAGAGCTTTCCCAGAAGAGACTCGAGTTGACATTGGGTAGTTGAAGCTGTGTGAAGAGTGGCCCGAAGGAGATCACGAAGCTCGGCAAGTTCGTCCATAGGCATACTGATGTTAGCGCGGCGGGTGTCCAGGATGACGCCGATAAACATCAGGACGTGGGCTGGACCCTCCACTTTTGCTGACGCCAGAGAAAACACCGAGGTATGTAAACGCGCGGCGCCGAGTAGCGAGTTGCTGGCGAGCTAACACAGGTCCAGAGCATGCATTGAGGAAGCACTTTTACTGACGCCAGAGAAACACCGAGGTATGTAAACGCGCGGCGCCGAGTAGCGAGTTGCTGGCGAGCTAACACAAGTTCAGAGCATGCATGGAGACAGAAACGTTAGTCGAGGTACTCCCCGTAATGGGATGATGCCAATAACGTCAGGACTTGAGCTGGACCCTCCACTTTTGCTGGGGCCAGAGAACCATCGAAGTATGTAAACGCTCGGAGCAGAATAGCGAATTGCTGGCAAGCTAACACAAGTCCAGAGCATGCACTGAGGAAGTAACGTTAGTTGAGGTATTCCCCGTAATGCAACAGGCGTGTGAGTGCGAACTGCTAGCACATAATCCATTCACTGGCGGATGCGACAGAGTTCCATATAGCTGGACTGGAGCGTAATACAGTCTGAAGGGCAGGGCACTCTCATAAAAGTATTGATCCTGCCAGCGGATCGACAAGGACCAATCCTCCGGGCGGACGGGAATTCGGCAGAATGCACTTTTAACATTGAGCTTAGCAAGATACACCGGGGCGAGCACAATTGTAGAGGAAATTGTTTGGGAACGCATGTTCCGCAAGTTGCATGCTCGAAAGTCGAAAACAGCAATGACATGCAAGAGACATTGTACAGGATCTTGGAGGGCGCATGACCATGTGACTCGCGCATGCGTGCAGGTCGGGCCAGCTCGCTGGGCTGCCTGCTAACTTGCGTTAGCATGCTAACGCTCATTATGGTTTAGATCGCATTATTGTAATGGTCGCGGTTTGATTTCAAAAGACCATAGTCTCATAGAACGTGTCGTACTATCGGTCGAAAGTTTAGGGGTGTGGTACTAATGGGCTGGGAATGTAAGGATCGGGTAGATTGCAGTGTTTTAATGGTCGTAGTTGTTGTATAAATAGAATGCTGAGATAATTAGAAGAGGACTATGAGGAAGAGCAAAATGACAGGGGTGATACTGTTAATTAAAGCTCTGAGCAGACGGCGTCGGCAGGAGTGCATACACAGAGAGTAGAAGAAGGGAGAAGAGAGGTCCCGCCGCCTCGAGAGTCGCCGTGCTTGCGAAAGGCTATGCCAACAGCAAGAAATGACGGAGCAAATATCCCGTCGTTTGGAGACTCACCGCCTTCGTGACAAGACGCGTTGACAGCTAGAGACCGCTGCACAGGCATCCATTCAGCAGGAGAAAATACATGCTCTCATGCTCGAACTTGTTCGGTGTGCGGGGCCATCATCATGTTACGCACCAGCCTGGCCCTATTCCGTTGATGTTCCGTACCATTCTGGCAAAGACTGCTGGCCACATGTTGAAACAGGGCTTAAAAAATGAAATAAGCTAGTACCAAAGCGTAATCTATTATTATATTTACTTTTACTTGGTAGAATGTACCTGTCTGAGAGTTTGAGTTTTTGAGTTATGTATCGATGTGCGTTTATGAACTAAAGTTTTGATTGTCATGCACATGTTTTTGTATTGCAAAGACGTTTCTATCAGTTCGAACAACACACATGATAACCTAGGCAAATATTAAGCATAGCGAGGGCTCCTGGGCGGTCAAGCCCTCTCTAGCCTTCAAGCTCAAGCGCTCTTTATTTGTGCGATATCGAAATGAAAAACTAAATGCAATAACAACGATGAACAATATATTTCAGCCAAGTACAAGTGGGGTCTATTGGTATCCTTTATTTCAGCCGAATAAAACTGTTGTTTATTGCTATCGCATAATGCATGATAACCTAGGCAAAAAAGCATAGTGAGGGCCCTGAGCTTTCAACTGAGCTCTCTCGTTGGAATTATTAATATGGAGGTGTATGTGCCAATTTTCACGTAGGATTGCCTGCCACTTGCCGCACTGCATTGCCTTCTGCAACCTGGGGAAAGCTGAGTGCTCAGGCCCGTAGCAGCTCCATTCTGGTTGGTCCAGCGAGACCTGACTTCCACAACTTTGCGTGCTTTTCTTGTGACGGGCATATACATGGTACAAAGTATGTGTGTATGTGTGTGTGTGTGTGTGTGTGTGTGTGTGTGTGTGTGTGTGTGTGTGTGTGTGTGTGTGTGTGTGTGTGTGTGTGTGTTGGCGTTCCTCTGGAGCAGCTTGGTGACATCGTCCAAGATCGACAGGGATGGCGGGTCACCTGCCGTGACGCTGTCGACGCTATTGTCCAGTCCCGCATGGAGCCTGTGGCGAAGCCCCTCATTTGTGGCACTTGTGCGCGCAGTTTTCGTCGGCCACAGGATATTGCGACGCACAAGTGTAACGCTGTTCGCGCGGCCCGAGCGCGCTGAGTATGGCGTTCCCCGCCCGGTGGACAACACGTCTCCTGGTCTGCCCCGTATGGGGCCACATAGCCAGTCATGGCAGTGGAAGAAGGAAGGAAGGAAGGTGTGTGTATGTGTGTGTGTGTGTGTGTGTGTGTGTGTGTGTATGTATGTGTATGTGTGTGTGTGTGTGTGTGTGTGTGTGTGTGTGTGTGTGTGTGTGTGCGTGTGTGTGTGTGTGTGTGTGTGTGTGTGTGTGTGTGTGTGTGTGTGTGTGTGTGTGCGTGCGTGTGCCCCCCCCCCCCACCCAACCCAAGTTCATGGTTTCGGGCCCCAACACCTCTAACGACGATCTAGAGCCGCTCGCGACTCGAACCATGGAGGTTGCCCATGTGTCGTCTTTTCGTTACCTTGGATCCAACATACACAGCAACGGCCGATGTCATGATGATGTCACATCCCGGATCTCTGTCTTTTCTCCTTCTGTCTGCCTGTCTGTCTGTCTGTCTCTGTGTGTTTGTGTGTGTGTGTGTGTGTGTGTGTCTCTCTCTCTCTCTCTCTCTCTCTCTCTCTCTCTCTCTCTCTCTCTCTCTCTCTCTCTCTCTCTCTCTCTCTTCCCCGCTCTCTCTCTCTGTGTGTCAACATACAGCTTTCACCGTCCAGGAGCGACACTGACTCGCACTGCTATCTGGTGCTCACGAGGTGTTTGTCGCGCTGCAAACGGAGCATCTCTGTAAGTTTGTATCCCTGGTGATGTTTGGACCTGGAGAGCACTATATAAATGGTGCTTCTCAGGCACAATCTTCCTCAGCCTACTCAAACTCGGCTGATGAGGGTAAAAATTTTCCCGAAACACTGTGTATTGAGCAGGGAGTGGTCCCTTCTTGCAGGTTTTCCGAGTGGAAGGTTGGATGGACTTTTCGTGTGCTCTGGGTGGCAGCTGTCAGTCAGTCAAGTGTAAAGTCAAGGCGGCGGAATAGCGTGAGCTCCAGTGTCGAGAGCAAACCCTTTCCTAACAATCTTCGCCGAAGTCGCAACCACTATTTCGTAGGTCTACCCTTGTTAGGAGACAACCCTGGGGGTATCAACTTTTTTTGTCTGATAACGAGTACATTTTTCTGCTGCTTTGCATCATCCATATTGTGTCCACATCAGAACTGATGTTTCCTTGTTATTAGACAGTGTTTTCCACCAAAACCCTGTACAAGACAACCCATTATCAGACAATGTTTCATCGGACCCCGATACAAGACAACATGAAATATCAATCGAGCTATCCTCGGCCATCCGCTTTTTCTTGCAATGAGAATTCAAACCTGTGGGACAGCTGAAGGGGACGTTATAACGAATTTGGTCTACAAACGAATAATCTCTTATCCGGACTTGCATGTACGACTGCTAATGATTCATGGGATTTTGGATTGTTGTCTACTAATGAGGTTTGTCTTGCAACCGATGTCATACTAACAAGGGTAGGACTGTAAATTCAAATCGAAATGCTTGAAACTTGAAACTTCGTTTTTCAGATGAATCAGACTGCAAATCAATAGCATAGCAAAGACCATAGCTATCCCAGGAACACTTGAGTAGTGCCTTCTTTTACCTTTTTCTATGTTGTCCTCTTCAGTTTGAGCAGGTATGGATGTTTCCTAGTGCCTTCTAGAATTTCTAGGTATATCATTGGTCTTGTTCGGATCGTCCATTACGTTTGCAGCTGTTCAAACTTGTATTGTTGTTTATTATTTTATTGATTTATTTATTCTACTTGCCTTTCCTATCTTCTTGTGTTTTGGCATTAGGCGATTTTATCGCAGGACGAGAGAGGAGCTGATAGACGATCTCTCCAATGTTCCTCTTGGTTCGGAGCGGCGCCGAGTGCTGACGTTGGACCTTGGGTAAGGATGAGTGTTCCCTCATTTTTACAAGTTATCCGTTTTGTCCAACACTAACGGTTATAAGCAGAATACTGCTGAGTCAAAAATGTGCAACAATCAGCACAAAAACTGACTGATGAGATCATGACATTCAACCACCTGATGCTTAGCTGCATCACGCTTATACCCGTTAGTGTTGGACAAAACGGATAACTCGTAAACTGATGGTCCTCTTTTTCAATTTTAATCCTTGGCTCTCCATCCGAGTTCCCTCATGTGTTGCTATTATTTTTATTTACTTATTTTTTGCCCAGGGTCTACATTCTACATTTATTTTACTTAGACTAGGGTTAGCTGTCCGTTTACCAGTACTCATCCACACATATGTGCACATAGGGTCTACACAGAACTCTATCAGTAGGTATTTTTGTATAGGAGGTTGTCTATCCTCCGGGATAGCACTATATACTCCCATTAGTGTGTGTTCTCTGGTAGCTATGTTCCTTGGAGACCATATGACTGTGCCAGTGTGGTGACCGAGGTGAGGTGTGTCTGCACTGGCATCGTCAACTTGCCTACTGCTACGTGCTCCCCAGTGCCGCGAGTCCATCTGTGTCCTGTACTTTATTTGGGGGGGAGGGGCAATACCGGTACTTCAGGTGCAGGGGGCAAGGGGGATGGGGTGGGGGACATCATGCCCCCAATGAACCTCTCCAGGCGTTGTTCTGGAGTAGACTAACCATAGGCGGAGTGTACACATGCAGCACATAGTTTGGGAATTAGAACGCGATCAGACTCGGGCATATTCAAAGGCAGTCTATTGTGATAGTAGTCCTGGACGGATCTCACTATGATGATATAGGTCGTGCCCAGCATCACAATGCCCAACATTATAAATGACTGTTTTTTTTGCCTGAGGGGCTAGATGAGCATGCGGCTAGACTGCCGATGGCAACCAACAGGCTCAAGGCTGTGTTGAGACTTCTTGTTTGCGACCCGAGTCAATTGTTTACTCACCATGACTAGGCATCGCATTGGGCATCGTATGACCATTTTATATGTCACTGTTCTTAGTCGCACCGGGGGCGCATGCCCGTTTTCAGGAGACTTATCAAAACACATAAGCCCTGTGCCCTGAAGGTTAGGCCTATTGTTAGTCTGAATAGTCCTGGCTACTATCCCGCTAAGTTCATTGACTTTCTACTGAACCTGTATGTACGTGAGGAAAGTACTGTTCTGGCCTGAACTACGGATTTCATCAACTTGGTAGAAGGTTTGCCTGTGCGGGACGATCATTTATTTTTGAGTATAGATGTGACCAGCCTTTACACCAACATCCCCAACGAGCTCGGTCACGTGGCATTGTCGTGGTATATCACACACAGGTATACAAGGTGGATGCCCCCGGCCCTTCGTACACGGTAAACAATAGCAGTGACTTCCCTGATGTAAGTCATTCGGAAGACTAACGGGTTCGTGTACGATAACGATTTGTTTCCGCAGATCCAAGGGACTGCCATGGGTTCGCCTGCAGCAGTGGTCTATGCCGACATTGTTATGCTGTATTTGGAGAATCGGTACATTTTGCCGATCTTAGAGGGGGAGGGTTTAGAGGTTCAGGTTTATAGACGCTTTATCAGTGACATTTTTGTTTCATTGCATGGTTGCCAAGGTCAAGTTCAGCACGCTTTAGACAGGATTAATAAGTGTTCGGCCCTCGAGTTTGCGCATGAACTGGCACATGATGGCATTGATTTCCTGGACACCACAGTTTTCCGTAGTAAGGGATACATGGCGGTGAAGCCTCATTTCAAGGTCACCAATCGTTTCCTGTATCTGCTTGCCGGTAGTAACCACCCCCGTAGTATGGGTAAAGGTGTGATCACTGGGGAGTTGATCCGTATCCGTCGATCTTCGACCCTTGACCACCACTACGAAGCTGCTGCCGAGCAGGCGAAGCAGACTTTCCGGGTCCGGGTATACAAGAGCTCCATCTTTCATCTTTCAGACCGTACACCAGGCATGCAAGGCCGGCACAGCTGGGGTGGCTGGGGCGGCCTCAGCCGCCCCATTTTTTGGCCGTTTTTTTGTTCTTGTTTTTTTAGCACACTGCAGCAAAGCGCGATGATCGCAGCTCAGCTCAAACGTTGCAAATAATGAAGAATCCTTGTGTATCAAGGTCAAGATGTGTGTGTGTGTGTGTGTGTGTGTGTGTGTGTGTGTGTGTGTGTGTGTGTGTGTGTGTGTGTGTGTGTGTGTGTGTGTGTGTGTGTGTGTGTGTGTGTGTGTGTGTGTGTTTGTGCTCCTTGGGAGCAGGTCACACTTTCTGAGCTCCGTGTTCTTGGCTTTCTCCCAAGTTTTCTGCCTGCCCAGGGCGACTCTGGCGTAGCCAGAGTCGACCCTGGAGCACCCTCGCACACTGCCAAGGTAGTGCTGCATGATTGGAGCGCGGAATCGCGATGTAGCTTGCAGGACAATTTACTTTGATATTGTCACTGCTGCGTCGGCCGTGGTCCACCACTCGCAGTGGAGTAGCTGTCCCTCGAGTGCTGTGAAGAATCCAAGCTCGAAGAATGCAGTGGTGGGAATTGCGGATTGGCTGGTGGAGTGCTGGAACAACTCGTTGTTTTCAGTGGAGTGGACGAGCGAGTGCGGAGAGGAAGGTCCCAATGGCGGAATGGTGGGAATTGAAACTTCAATCTTTCGTCGTCATGAGTGCACTGGTCAAGCGTTGTGGAAGTCTGTCGGATTTGTGAGGCCTTGCCCTGCCGCTTACATCGTCAACGTGGAAGAACTGCTAGTGGAGTCCTGGTGGGATTTCGGATGCCCACACTCCTTTTGCTTGGTGGATTCTTTCGTGGACAGTGTTTTTTCGTGACGTGAAATTTTGAATTTTTTTTTCCTTCCTGTTCATTTTCAGTCGTTGGCACTGTAGCTGTCAGGTTGTTGTTACAGTACAGCAGTCGTCCGTTCTGCTCCATTGTTTCATCTGTTTTGCCAGTTCTGCTAGCTGATTCTATTTATTTGCCACTGCCCCTCATAGTGCTCATGCTTGGGTGGAGGGCGGCGTGACCCGTTTAGGGTAGCTGTATCATAGTAGTAGTAGTAGTGTGTGTGTGTGTGTGTGTGTGCCTGTGTGTGTACGTGCCTGTGACGTGTACAGCCGGTGTGTGCACACCGCTAGCTAAACCGACCAACGGCTACTCCCAGGGCACAACCTATTCTGCTGGAGGCAGCGTCGTCTTCGGCTGAAATTCCGGATACAACCTGCAGGGAAGCATTGTGCGCATCTGCCAGATTGACGGTTCCTGGAGTGGGGCAGCTGCCTCATGCAATCGTAAGTTGAATTTAAAGAGAGCCAATATATCCCTCTTGTGTAGAGAAGCTTCAGGCTTGTAGGAAGGCAGATTCTGGTGGCGTTGATCTTTCCTATTTACAGAGCATGTAATAGTCTGGGTGTTACCTGCCACTTTTCATCATCACAAATGATGATCGTGCTTATCACAGGACCCAGGACCAGTCGGGCATCTCAGCCTGAGTCCTTAGGATATATGTTATACTTGTAGGTGTATGGTTAGGGTGTTTCACCGGGTAGAGGCGACGGTTTCAAATAGGACACAGGTTGCAAACCGGAACAGACTCAATATTCACTTTCTCTCTTGGTATTTTGATTAGAAAACATATGTCACAGTGAGACTACGATGTGTTATACTCCGAGCCAAAATGTCATGGCTCTGCGATGACCAGACGCGCCATACCAAGCAGGTGAGTTTTTGACGTGTTGCTTCGCACTGCGACTTGAGTTTTACGACTTTCGAAAAATCAACTTCTTGTCGCAGGTAAACAGCGGCTCGCCTCTTGCCAATAAAGCACCGCATACCAATGAAAACTAATGGAAGCACACACAAGGCTTACCGTATTATCTCTAATATAAGCACAGTCTCCAATAATAGCAAGTCTCCAATAATAGAACACCTTGGGGCGGCATTCAAAAAATAAAGTGCTCAGTCTCCATTATAAGCACACTGTGTAAATTCATTATCGGTACCGGCGAAAAAAACCCTGAAATGTGTGTGTCATACATGAATTTGGCATGGTATAAACATTCCTCTGAAATGAGGTTGAAATAATAATGGAACAGTCTCCAATAAAGGAACGTCTCCATTAGTAGCACGGGACGGAGGTACATTGAAAAAATAAAGGACCGTGCTTATATTAGAGATAATACGGTATTGTTACTCTGTACTGGCCGTCGTGGAGCGATAGCAATTACCTAATTTCAGACCCAGAGTGAATTTGACGTGCACTCTAAAACGTGTCCGGTTTGGAGCCACCTCTGATTTGAACTTTTTTGAAGCGAAAAATTGGGCAACTAAATTACTTGGAGGCAATGGGTCAACACAAAGGAGTGGCTCAGTTCGATTGACTCTGGCCCCAGAGCAAACTTCAACATGCCAGTTTCCTTCCACAAACATATTTCGAGTGAAAAATCAACGCTGATGATCGGTTTGGGTCTATACAAATTTGGCTGTCAAGGCGTTCCGGTATCGAACCGTCTACTGAGTTGTTGGCATAAGCCGGTAACTTTTGTCGAGCCTGTTTTAGGCTACCACCTCCTCCAAATATGCTAATATCTCTTGACTGTACCAAAGATGTGCCGAGCAGACACCTTCTTCATCTCTTGACTGCTTTGTGTGTTGTGTGTATGGGTACGTGTATCCAGCCATTCAACTGCAGTGCCAGTCTGGCTACCTGCCCTGCCTGCGTTCCAGTGGCTGTATCCTGCCATCACAGCGCTGCGACGGTGTTTGGTACGACTGTGCTGATGGCTCTGATGCACAGTACTGCCCAGGCAAGGTCACACCAGCTCCAGGTAAGCACCAGCAGCAGCACTGATAGCAGTACCATGACTTCTATTATTATTACAGGGTGCGACAGAGCTCTCAGCCATTGAAGAAAATGTTGAGTCACCTCCACCACCACACTGCGCTCTGTAGCCGACTAGACCCTCCTGCACACAACCATCACCATTGCGAGGACACTTCCGTAGACGATATTGATAAACTCCTTCAGACAACTGTTTCGCTAATACATAGCTCATCAGTGAAGGTAGATATTGAATGATTAAAAATATAGACCAAACTGCTATTATATAGGGGGTTTCCACATACAAAACTGGCATAGCTGAGGTGATAACGCGGGAAAAGGAAAGTGTGAAGTACTGTTGACGCGCATTGGACATGCATGCAGCGTCGGATATTCGGCGCGGAAAATCAATCACTATTCAATGCATAAATAACGTGCCAGAATCAGAGTACTATGTAGCTAGTAGTGAGAGTCTGTGTACTAGTATTGCAGTTGTCCGAGCGCCATGAAGGCCTGCGAACGCACCTCACGACCCGCCGACGTCGACAGCCACAGCAGCCCCTGGGGCATGACACTGTACTGCTCGCCCGTCGCGCCAAGACGCTTGGCAGTCACTAGGCTTCATGCCACCGATGTTGTCCGCAAGCTACCTTGTTATCTGCCCATCACCCACTACCGCTGACACGCTGGGAGGCCCCGCGGCATTCGCCCAGTATATCGTCGTCAGAGCTGTGTCGACGGTACAATAACGCTTGTAGAAACAAACAGTTGGTCGTATGGTATTGCGTCCTCCGGATTGTCCCTTGACTCGTCTTGTCCCTCTTCTTGCTCTGACGCTAATGACTTCTATTACAAGCAAAATGTAGAGCTACTGTTGACCGCTATTCACTGCTGTATTTATTTTATTACTTTGCATGGCCATGTTGAGGCAGTCTTCGCATCAATTTCCTTTACACAATGCGTGTACTACAATGTATTCAAAACCAACGTCTGTGCCACGCACACATACGAAACGCCTCCTGAACCAGCTCGACGTTGGCAAGGCGTCCGGTCCGGACAACATCCCTGCCCGAGTGCTCAAGGAGTGCTCCCATGAACTTGCATCGCCTCTCACGTCTCTCTTCTCCCTGTGCTTCCGTAAGGGTGTCCAGCCAGAGGCCTGGAAGAGTGCTCGAGTTGTGCCAGTCTACAAGAAGGGCAGCCTATCCAACCCTAAGAATTACCGCCCAGTCTCCCTCCTCCCCATCATCTCCAAAGTGATGGAGCGTATTGTGAACTGTCAAATTGTGAATCACCTTGAAAAACATCATCTCTTGTCAACCAAGCAGTACGGATTTCGCAGTGGCCTTGGAACAGCGGACCTACTAGCAGTGCTTGGGCATGATTGGTCGCTGGCCGCTGGTTCTGGTGGCTGTGCCCACGTCCTGGCTGTCGACATTGCTGGTGCGTTTGACCGCGTGTCGCACCCCGGCGTCCTACACAAAGCGGCCACTCTCGGTATTGGCGGTAGCCTGCTGCAGTGGCTACGGGACTATTTGCGGAATCGCACACTAAGCGCAATCGTCAATGGACAGGAATCTGCTCAATTCCAGATTAAAGCTGGCGTACCCCAAGGCAGCATCCTGGGACCCACCTTATTCTTGATGTATGTCAACGATGCTGAGACCTGTCTTTCCCCATCAACGCGAATGGGTGTGTACGCAGATGACACCATGCTGTACACCATCATACGATCCAGGGATGACTCTGCTGGCAGTATTGCAGACATGCAATCTAGCCTGGATGGATTGAGTAGCTGGGGAGAACAATGGCGAGTTCGCTTTGAGCCGACAAAGTCGCAGCTGCTGCATATTGGCCACCACCGCAACCCCTGGCCACTCCCAGACCTAACGTTCGGAGCCCATGATATTCCCTGCGGGGACGAGCTGAAGCTCCTGGGAGTGACCTTCGACAGCAAACTCACCTTCAGACACCACCTCCGCAATGTTTCTCTTCGTGCTGTAGCCCGACTAGGATTTCTGCGTCGAGCATCAAGTTTCCTTGGCCGTGAAGGACGCTTGACAACGTACAGAGGCTTCGTACGCCCTGTACTCGAATACGCACCATTGACATGGATGGGCGCAGCCAACTCTCACCTGCAAAGACTCGACCGAGTACAGCGGAAGGCCCTTGCCATCATTGGTCCTGACGCCTTGCTGCAGAGCCTAGCTGCCCGCCGCCAAGTGTACGCTCTCACGTACATGTACAAGCTAATGTGCCTTCAAGACCATCCAGATCTCTCTGCGCTCGTGCCGCCTCGCCAGGAAGCTAGCCTCGTCCCGCGGACAAGGTCGCAGCTCCGTGTCCGCCACCAGCATCAGCTACAAGCAGTGCTCCTCCCTACGGCCCCCAACTTTCTCCAGCTTTCGTTCCCATATGGTGTAGTGGATGAATGGAACAGGCTTCCGCAAGACATGTTTCCGGATCCTATGCCCCAGTTGAAGTCTCTCCAATCCTTCAAGACGAAGGTCCATCGCCACTTGCGTCAACAGAATTGGCTCTGGGCTACGGACTCCCTGTGAGGCTATGCCACCCGTCAATGAGCAACTACCCTCGCCCATCATCTCTTTCTTGTTTTATTTTATCTCTCTTCTCATCTCTTTCTTGTTTTATTTTATTTCTCTTCTCATCTCTTTCTTGTTTTATTTCTCTTCTCATCTCTTTCTTGTTTTATTTTATTTCTCTCTCTCTCTCTCTCTCTCTCTCTCTCTCTCTCTCTCTCTCTCTCTCTCTCTCTCTCTCTCTCTCTCTCTCTCTCTCTTTCTCTCTCTCTCTCTATCTCTCTATCTCTATCTCTCTATCTCCCTCTCTCTCTCTCTCTCTCTCTCTCTCTCTCTCTCTCTCTCTCTCTCTCTCTCTCTCTCTCTCTCTCTCTCTCTCTCTCTCTCTCTCCCTCTCCCCCCCCCTCTCTCTCTCTCTCTCTTTCTCACTTGATCTTCCTCCCTCCCTAGCTGCATTCCTATCGATGCCTGGCCGTAGGCTGTGATTCCGAGACCTCCGGTCGGATGAGCCTCGCCAACCACATCGGCACATCGCCCCTACTCCCCTTTGTCTTGTTGTCCAGTGTCACTTCAGTTGTCCTCTTCCCCTGATTATTAGTAGGGCTGTGTTTTTTAGTAAAAAAAAAAAAAAAAACGTTTTAGGGATGAAACGAGTATATCGAATACTCGAGCGCTTGCTCGAAAATTCGAAAGGAGTGAGGACTCGTTTCGCAAAATACTCAAAGTATCTTATGCATAGTGTACTGTATGCTTGTACATCAAGCACGTCTGTTACTCTGACCAGTACTGATAACCCATGCAAGTGTGAAATTATTACTTGTCCCTACTTACCAACAAAAGACGTAGTTCAGACTATTTCCTGCACTAGGCTGCATGCAAGACTACATGTGTATCAGGTGTAATACGTTCAGTGTTACGAGAGTGTGTGCAGTACATTGTTTTATGTTGTCAGTAAAATACTCGTACTCGCTCGAATACTCGCTCGTTTTTTCAAAGAGTACTCGAGTCCTCAATTTTGGCACTCGTTTCACCCCCGGGCCAAACATGCATGCACTGAATGCCTGTGCTCTGTGCACTCTGTGCTTGTGCAGGTCAAACCGACTGCCAGGTCCTGTCACCACCGGCACTGGGCTCAATGACCGTGAACGGCTTGATGTTCAGCAACACGACCACGTTTGTGTGCACATCTCCCTATGTCCTTATGGGCTCGGCCGTGCGTACTTGTGAAATCAACGGCCAGTGGAGCGGTGTGCAGCCAACTTGCGTCCGTAAGTACATGTACCAATGCTCGACTGGCTTGTATTATGCATTCCCGTTCATCACACCGCTCATACTGTCAAATGCTGCCTCTTCTCATTCACAATGGCATGGGTCACAGTAGATAGGCCTGGTGCAGGTATTGCCAGTTCCTTGCTTGCTGCAGTGCAGTATGACATATTAACTTAGCTGGTAAGCAGTGCATGTGTGCATGGCAAGTGTTAATTTTGTCCATTGCTTCCCAACCCATGTGTAGTGACGACTGCTGCTCTGAGTGCGGCCAGTGACGAGCTAGTCAAGGACTCCGTCTCAGAACGCATGACACAAACGTGTAAGCCTAGTATTGCTGCATAATTAAGAGCAATTTCTCCTACTGCTGACTGCTGAAAATGTTGTGTCCTTCACAACTAGTCTCTTTGTTCTAAGAAGTCTGCCTCTTTCATCGATTCGTGTTTACCTAGCTGCGTTACGCTATTAGTAGCCTATTACCTGTTGTGCAATGGGGCTGGCCTAAAAGCTGCTCGCTCAACAGTTGTGTTGCATGGCATAGAGGGAGAGACGGCAAGCCGCCTCGGCATATTTGCGGATAGAGCTTTTATTAGAAAGGAAAAGGACATATGGATACGAGTTAAGAGTAACAGTCCACCACTGTAACTAGCTACTACAGAAAAAAATGCAACAACTAGGCACAAAACTGACAGAGTGCTGAGACATTCGACGACCTGACTCCTAGCTTCAACACATCTCCGTAGCGCTAACCAACAGCCTTCCAACTTGGAAGGTTCAAGGTTAAAAGGAGAGACCAAAGAGGGGAAGGTAAGCGCAACGAAAATGAGCACAAGCTAGTAGTTGAAGCTACAGTCCCACAAGAACAAGAAATGTTGATTGTTACTGGACGATGACGAAACCAGTATTACCTTTCCCTCTTTGGTCTCTCCTTAACACTACGAAGATGTGTTGAAGCCAGGAGTCGGGTCGTCAAATGTTTTAGTGCCTGGTTGTTGCACTTTCTGACTGTATTTAGTATATAGTGACAGGTACTCTACACTCATATCCATACGTCCTTTTCCTTTCTACATTAATTCTATTATTGCCATATTGGCTCAACATCCGAGTTTCAAAGAGCTTTTAGTGGACGACTTAATCCATTTTCGGCAATACTTACAACGATCCAATCAGTCATATTGTAGATCAGGCTATGCTGTGGGTAAGTATACTACTGGCCTTGTATGGCTTATTGTTTGCCAGCGAGTATTTAGCATCATCTACTAGTATTCACTCGTTTGACAGCCAAAGAGTATTTGTGTGGGAGGCTGGGAGTCTCACACCCGACTTGGTCACGTTGCGCCTGAAGGTCACTAAGACTCGGCCATATACGGTGGAGCCGTCGCAGTTCCATCTACTGTCGACGAAACATGCCCGGTATTGGCTATTCCGGTACATGACAGCCCATGCCTGTAGCACCAAGCCTGTGTTCACGTTTGCCAAAGGGATCCACCTTACTCGGCCTTATTTAAATAAGATACTCTGTCACGCTCTCAACTGTTATCAGGTTAGCGCCCGCTCCATGCCCATTGTTGGAGCGACAGTCCTGGAATCCAGAGTTGCAAGTGAGGTGGTGATACGGCAAGCAGACGGTGGCAAAGTACGGCTTAAAAGCTCTACATCTGGCAAGTGGCCGGCATACCACCCCAATGGACATCGGAACAGTACACGTAGAGTAGCATCTCTACGTGACAGGGTATGAGCGCAAGTGAGTTCTTATGCTCTACTAATGTGCATTGATTCTGTGACTATAGTTGGTGTACAGATCTCATCACATGTGCCTTAGGTGGGATTTGCTATTGTCACTGTAAAATTCAGCCCTAACAAACAGTGTGATGGATGAATTTGACTCCAGGTATCTGCTTTTGGGAATGCCATGTATGCATATCTGGCGTGCTGCTGCTATAATGTTGTGGCAGCAGCATTTTGGTGCGATGGACTGTTCTTGTAACGGTGTACCTACCCATTTGCTGTTGCCGGATGCCGTGTTTTGTCAGTTGTGCCTGTTTGAAGGTGCCAGGCCAGCTTGTGTTGGTGCGTTCCCGTTAAGTTGCCAGGGCACCATATTTGTAACGGCGTTCCCGTTTTGCTGTTGTGGGGCTGTGTTTGTATCGGTGTGTTCCCGTTGAAGTTGACGGGGCACCACGTTAGTGGATTGTGCCTGTTTGAAGTTGCCAGGCCAATCCTGTAACGCACACCCGTTTGCTGATAATTGGGGATATGTTTGTCCATTTCGCTCGAGATTCACATGGCTGCGCCAGTTGCCTTGTGCGGATTGGACTGTTATCTGGCACTAGTCTTGATCTGTTTTATTCAGATTCAGATCAGCTATTGTTCCTATACGAGAAAATCTGTGGGTGCACATCCAATTCATTTGCAGATTTGTGTGCTTCTCCTGCAACGGGCGTTTACATGGTACATGGTGTGTGGGCGTATGTGTGGTGTGTTCATGCTGTACAGGCCAGTATTGCCAAGCACTGGGGACCTTTGGCAATCTGATGAATGTTTTGTCCGAGAATCGATCCTTGGATCTGTGGCGTTGCAGTTGTGGTGCTCCCGACCCTCTTGCGCGATGGCCGCGGAGACTTGGCGAAAAGGTTCGAGACATACGGCATCTCAATATCTTCCACCACAATCAGTACATCAGCACCACCATCGAGTGTAGCGACATCAGCAATAGAAGACGCACATGATATCATTCACCCTTACGGCCTTAGCGAAGACCCGGGAATACCTGAAAAGATGTTAGCCGCAACTTTACTGGAAAGGTCGTCGGTGACAACGGCACTCCATATTTTAGCTGCATGCAGTTAGGTCTCTCAACAAGTGTACCCAAAGTTTTCAAGCTAATACACAAGCAAATTCACTAGGGGCCGAGTATATTTTCCTACACCTCTCCCTGTTTGTTGTTGTTATTTCTGCATTCAAATTGTTTGTGTACCTGTACATTTATTACAGTAGAGCCACGCATCCACGGCTGTTGTTTCGTCAGGCTCGTCAGTTATACGAAACCTTTCAGCAATCTGGCCTTAGGCTTAATTCCTTGACTTCTTGTACCACTTTCTTAGATGCACATCCCACTGGATAGTGAGCAATACGTGTGTAGCAGAATCTGTATTCCAGAAAAGCAGAGACTTGAGTCTATTGACACTGCGTTTCTTTTTTAAACGTTATTGGCTGTGGTGTTCCTAGAGGTATACACGTACATTCCTGGGTCCCACGTTCTGTGACGCCCGACTGTATTCGTGGTGCCTCAACAACTTTTAATTTTGTGCACTCGGGAAAACCTGCCTGAGGCTGTGAGGCTGCAGAGTGTTGGCTGTGTTTTGCTTTAAAAAACCGTCAGGTCTCCCCAGATTTTCTAGTCTGGCCCTGAATTTTGCCACTCTTCGGTTTCAAAACCTAGTGTGGTGGTGGAAAGCCTAGCAGTGTTGTGTGTGCATGTGTGTATTTTGTACAGTGCTGGCCAGAGAAATCCAACCTCGTTAATAAAGTAGCGCCGCGTTCGAGAGCACAGACCGGTCCAGTATGTTTACTACTAGGGCTGCGTAGCGCCCGGTGCAATTTTATTCATAAGGTTGGATTTCTTTGGCCAGCACTGTAGTTAGAAGTAGGTCCTCTAAGGTCCTCTGTTTGTGCGCAATTGTGGTCACAGTGGCAGTAGTGGGTGAGGGGTAGACTCAGTTACTACGAAGATGGTGTATACATGATGGTGTATACAGTCATGTAGTTGAATGTTACTTCGGGCTTAGACCCAGAGGTTCTTGCAATGATGACCCCGGGTTTATGTACATGTATCATTCAGCTACCGTTGTCATAATGGCACTAGTTGATAGAACACCTGTATAAGTACAGGCTGTATATCTAGCATTTTCCAAAATAGAACTCCGTACTTCGAGGCTGCAGCCGTTTTGCATGCAACGTTGTATGTGTTGATCGGTTGACAGCATGTGACAAAGCCGAGGACACACTAGTGTATCAGGAGCACTGTTTTTTAACACAGTGCGTCCCCCGCCTTGTCATGTTAATTTATCAAACAAGGCTTACCTATACCAACATTATACATGTAGGGCTGTGCATGCTTTCAAAATTCTTCCTTGTTGAAGTAGAATACCGTGCTTGTGGGGGCTTTAGTAGTTCCTTTGCCAGTTGTTCTATGCGTATCTCAATAACTTATCAGTTTCAGCACTCGGGCAAGGCACATTCGGGCCTACACATGTAGCCTTGAATTCTGGCTTGGAGGCATTATTTATCTATTTTCATGGCTGCTAGGTTCATCCTTAGTTTTAAAAGAGTTATTTCTCCGTGATTCGCTGATGAGTCCACAAAGGACGAAACAGCTAGACAGTACTAGTGCTGCCCCCAGATCGTGTATTCTAAATCCATAATACTGACGCTCAATCTCCAGACAGCTGTTTCAGCCTTTTTAGGTCCCATCAGTGGAGCTCAGAGCGGGAGGTTAAACAAATGGCAATACGGTCTATATGAAATGAACAAAAAAAGCAATTTGAAAATGGCTCAAAGCATCAAAGTCAGCGAGCTATCTGCAAGACACGCACAAAGAGAGCTTTGCACGAAGGCAGATACATATTACATATACCTTTGACACTAACCAAAAAGAGTGCTCAATCAAGTCAACGCAAGGCAGCGTAATGCGGTGATCGAGTCTATAAAAAGCTATAGTGACATGTAGCCAGGCCCCCAGCACAATAAGCTGACTTGCATCATGCTAAAATCGTTCACACAAATCTCTTATAATAATTATTATATAGATTGCAGGATAGGGTGGTTGCACCAGGAAGTGCTGTCTCTGCGATAGTGGGACCAGCCAAGATTGCAGTACAGTTGTCCACCATCAATCCAGCACTTCATTGGCCCACGCCCTCGATACACCAGCATGATTTCCGGAGTTATTACCATTCATTGACACATGCCCCCCCCCCCCCAGTTCTTCGGCACGTGACCCGAGTTCTATTTGGGCCGCACTACTTTGTAGCAGTCATACTATAGTACTAGAACTGGATGCACGTGATATCCACTGGAGCTGGCGCTGGCCATGAGCTGACCCACCGCCGTGCCTCCCAGTGTCAATTTTGCTTATGTGATCCTACCACAATCTGGAACATTATCAGTACTCGCCTCTGTTGACTTGCCAGCACTAGTTCTGGTGGATCCGGGCATGTTTCTGCCTTCTCTTAAGCATGTATTCTCCTGCAGGTGCATCTTTCACCTCCTTCTAATGCGCGAGCACATTTTCTGTGGAGATTCAACGACACATACATCGGAAAATACAGAACGGAACAGTGGCTGCCAATGCGACACAAGTACCACATAGACCTAAAAACTCATAAGTACCCTGGGAGTTACCGTAATGTCGCGTGCATAAGCCGGATTTGTGCATAAGCCTGTCTCGTGTAGAAGCATGAAATCTGCAACAGCTTTTCGCGTACAAGCCTGTCGCATGCATAAGCCGGGCCAGTACACGAGACGCGCCACGTGTCGCGTGCGTAAGCCGGGCTACTACGCAAGACTGGGTACCGGTACCCGTAGTATCTTTGATAGCTGTGTCGATAGCTGACACTTGTCTCACTCTGTGCGTGCACATCCTGTTGCTTGCCTCTCATTCTCACGGCACCATGTACGAGCATGTTCTTTATCATCGTACTCCACACCTCATGACCTGAAAAGGAGTTGAACTCTACTGTGAAGCTGCTGGTGTTTGATGAGTTGGCTTGTTCGTTGTGTGTGTGTGTGTGTGTGTGTGTGTGTGTGTGAGAGAGAGAGAGAGAGAGAGAGAGAGAGAGAGAGAGAGAGAGAGAGAGAGAGAGGAGAGGGGGGACGCGGTTCAGGGAGCGAAAAAAAAAAGAAAAAAAATCCCGTTGGAAAATGTTGGTTTTGACGTCCAAAAGTCAGCAGTTTGCGCATACAAGCCTGGTCATTGAGTGGTGCTTGTCATATAAGCCTGTCTCGTGTATAAGCCTGTCTTGTGTACAAGCCTGACTCCATCACCGGCTTATAGGCATATAAGCCCCGGCTAATGCACGCGACATTACGGTAGATGCATTTACGGGCAGTATGCCAGGATTTGCGCAGCTAATTTAAAATCAGATTAGCAATGCTGTGTGCTACCTAGGCGGCATCTTGGACTCAAAAACCAACCGATTGTGGTCCAACCCAACCGACAGCGTTGTCGGTGGGTTCCGATTGGCAGGTGTTGGCTGGACGTATGATCCATGCGTCCCCACAAGCAATGAGAAGTTAACAATGCCACTAAGGATATAATATCGCGGACAGCAGTACAATGAAACTGGGCCATTCATTATCAGCAATATCAGGGGTATATCCCATCCGATAAGACGTACAGCTCGTGTATGGCGGACTTTACAGCAGGTCCCGACATAGCTTGCCCCGTGCCCTTTACCACTGCTGGGCCAAAACTGTTGTACAATATTCGAGAGGGTCTTGCCTAGTGAGTGTGAACAGAACCTGGCAAACCATATCTCCAAGTGATTCACATGTTGGTATATTCTCCGTTATCATACATAAAATTCCGAGCAATTTGACACCCGAATATTCTCGCACCACTACTGCTGAAGTATTGACCACAAACCATGTTCCATTTGACTTACAAACGGAACTTGCAAAAGGCATGAGAGCACTGGAATCTGTAAAGACTCTCGCATTATTACTAATTTATTAGCCACCATACATAACTTACCTTTCGGGAAGTCGTGTTGGAAGCAGAATGCTCGGAGAGCAGAGCTGAGTGAGATCTGCATACAGTAACACAGCGACAATGAATCACATGAACAGAAGGAAGCAGTCGTATCCGTACACATCTGAATATGCGCTTAAGTTATGGGAGGAAAATCCGTGCGACAAAAGAGGACCGTGTTATGCAGGTGTATGTCTTACCCGGGTACGTACTAAGTGAGTTCCACCGTACGTATATAATTGTATTGCAATTGAATCACTTGACTGACTGGAGCCAAAAATATCAATTGGCACTTACTCCGGTTACCCGAATGTTTCGGTACCACTATTATTAGGTTAGTTGCAATCGAACCAAGTCATAGTTGAGTCATTTTCAATGCGTTAGGTGTTACCCGACGTGCCCACTGCATCAGCCGCTGTGTCATATTCCACCAGGCATGCACCAAACCAGGCGCAATGCGCACACTGATGATGGTGGTTGTCACACAACGAGCAGTAGTAAAAGTGAAAGGACTTTTTGCATGTGATTTTGTTGTAATTTGTGCCAGTCGAATTGTCTCAGTGTAACTAGTTTATCGTTAGCTTACTAGTTTGTTTATACAAAAGAGAAAGACCAAGGAACTACAAGTTACGCTATACTGTCCACTAACACCACCAGTTACTAAACAATCAGCTCATGCGATAGCATTGCACGACACTGAACAGCTCTAGCACATCTTGGATGCGCACTCCAACAGCCTTGTGGACGACGACCGTCACTGGAGAATCGGTCCGTCGCTCCACCAGCCCGGCGGCACAGTGGACAGTGCCTTGGGGGTGTCAGCCATGGATCAGGCTGATAAGGACGTGGTGGAGACGGAAATGATGTTTGCAAGGAAGAGTGATGATATGCGTATGTGCTTTCCGCCAGTTGTTGAAGCAACAGTCCGGCAGTGGAAAGTCGGCAAGGTTAAAATAAGTGACCAACTGGGTGAAAGTACACCAAATGTGGCCCATCTCTTGAATGGTGCGGACCACGGCAAGGACCTGAAGTTGAAGGTCGTCAATGGCAACACCGCATGGTCGACGTCAATGGGAACATCAAGCCATCAAGTTGGTGGAACTATGGAATGTCCGTCGCAGGCTGCAGCGACAGGGTAACGTGCTCAGGGAAGAGTACAGCAACGATGATCAGCTGTGTCTTGCACGCAGTCGTGTTGATCGTGGCGTGCAGAACAACAGAGTCAGTTGCGGTATTCGTACATTTGTCTGCTTAGGATTGTGATCCCCAGGAAGTCCTTTGGTGAGGAGTGATGTCACGCAACAAGCAGTAGTCAAAGTGAAAGGACTTCTTGCATGTGATTTTGTTGTAATTTTGTAAGGTGTGGTGGCAGAACTTTCAGCTGGTAGTGGGTGATGGGCTGGCGGTGTGACACCAATTACGGGCTTGACGAACGACATAATTATGGCGAGTCGATCTTTGGCCAGTTGCTGAGTTGGAGATCGTCACCG